AGAAAATATAAACTTGATTTTAAAAACAAGTAAAAAGATGATTTGCTATAGTTTATCTTGGCAGACTTTTTCACTGGTTTTACAAAAAAGAGACTTTAAGGACACACATTAACTGATTGGAAGTATACACTCACCAGCCATAACATTATGACCACTGACAGGTGAAGTGAATAACACTGATTATCTCGTTACAGTGGCACCTGTCAGTGTGTGGGGTGAATTAGGTAGCAAATGAACATTCAGTCATCGAAGTTGATGTGTTGGAAGCAGGAAAAACGGGCAAGTGTAAGGATCTGAGTGACTTTGACAAGGGAGAAACTGATGGCTGACGACTGGGTCAGATCATCTCCCAGACTGCAGGTCTTGGTGGGTGTTCCTGGTCTGCAGTGGTTAGTACCTACCTACAGTGTCTAAGGAAGGACAAATGGTGAACTGGTGAAAGGGTCATGGACGCCCAAGGCTCACTGATGATGATGTTGATCTACTGTAGATTAAACTTTTAACTTCCATTTGTACTTTTCAAAAGATTAAACACCATTTACTTGAATCTTTGTTAAAATGGTTGAAAATGAGAAATACTACACATTGGTATATATGAAGAGAAAGAGTCGGGGACTGTAGTGCTGATATCACGCCTAGAGTGGGGAGGCTGTTGAATTTGTCTCAACAATTCTTTCTAACTCATCCTCACAGCCACAGTTTTCATTCCTTTACATACGTTTTTCACTGAATTGTAGACACATCTGTGTACTTCCTGACAATAGAACTGTGGAAGCAAGTGGATTCACAGAAGATGCACAGTGAGCTGCAGTGTGACACGAACACCAACCAACTGCCACATTGACTCTAATATACACACAGCAGTAGGCAGGTGGTCATAATGTTATGGCTGATCAGTGTATATTTATACTGTTGCTTTTTTCTGTAAAGCACGTGTACATGATTTTGGTCATTTCTATTTTGCTTTGTGAAACTCATAGCATAAGAAATGCATACAGTTTCCTTTTATAAAAAAAGATGCTATCTTTAAAGTAAAGTGATTTACCATTATTCTGTTCATTAGTTTACTTACAAAAAGGAAACTATTTAAATTAATCAATCATTCATTCATTTTCATTCATTTTCTACCGCTTGTCCCTGAACGGGGTCACGGGGGGGGGCCGGAGCCAATCCCGGCCAGCAATCGGGCGAAGGCAGGGTACACCCTGGACAGGTCGCCAATCCATCGCAGGGCTAATTAATCAATCATTTTCATTTATTTTGGAAAAAGGTCACCAAACCTTGGATGATTATAGCTTCATAAATGCAAAAGGTAGAACTGAAAAGAAATTTAACTTAATTTAAAAATGTATTTGTAATGTCATTTTTCAAGTTAAAATGCCTTATTTTTAATGATTCACACGTGAGAATGTGCTGCTTTTTGTCATTAAGATAATTAACTAGAATTTTAGACTGCTGGTAGAAAAAAACAAGAAAAAAGGCAAAAACTCAAAAAAGACTAACTTGGTCTATAGAAAATTGTAACAAACTATGTCAGTATTTATAGTTTATTTCATGGACTTTAAAAGAAAACCAAAGAATCCTGTACACTGTCCATCAGTTGAACTCACTTTATGATGATGGACAACTGTAATTTTAGACATCATTGTGGACTCTGGTGGATTGCGTTCTGCACTTTTGACACTAGAGTGGCTATTTTACTAATGTAGTAATTGAAACTAATCCGATTCATCAGTGATGAAAGTAAGAATCAAATGCAGCTCTATCAATATTTAAACAAAGGATGTTCCTGAGGGTTTTTTTTTTTTTTTTTTTTTTGGGGGGAGGGCAAATGAGAAAAATTTTTTTTTTTTAAAAAAAGGATGTTCCTGGGGGTTTTTTTTTTTTTTTTTTTTTTGGCGGGAAGGCAATAGCAGAATAATGAGTCACCAAGCAGGAAGCAGCCTGCAGACTTGTGTACATCCTCCAGATGCACAGGCGAGGTCCTGAGAAGACGACTCAAAGAACAGGAATGTCACACTGAAGGGCATCCTCAGTCATTATATTCATACTGCATTTCTCTGAGTCACATCAGGAAAATCATCACTGCCTCTTTTTCCACACTGAGCACCTTCATCCTGGTCCTCACTTTCTCACCTTTGTCTCCAGTTTGTCATCACTCCCTCTGTCGCCTCTCAGCGTGCCTCAGAGCCGGCAGATTTAATGCCCAGGGGTACTGTGCAATGCAGGCTCCTGCTCTGGGTCTGGACCAGTCTGCACTCCAGTGATTTCTACTGGTTGGAGTTTGTGTTTTCCCAGAGAAGCTTGTAGTCTGCCCCCTACCACCGCCCCCAAACCCCACCCTTTCTAAAACACACACATAAATGTACATTTTTTGTGTGTGTGAGCCCAGTGTACTGGCTGGCAGCCAATGTCATCTCTGAACCAGAAGATCTGAACTCCAAATCCCAAAATAAACCACAAAACATGGTAACACAATGCAAAACTTAAAGTGCCCTCACTTGGATGACAGATTTCCAACACTGGGGGTGAGTCTGGTCTGTGTAAAAATGGCTAGGACAAGGCAAACTTGAAATTTGTCTCAGATAATTTGAAGGCATCATGTTCTACTGTATTGAACATTAAATGTATTTCTCTAATCTATTTATACTGGACAATTCTGCAACTCACAATTTTCTGCATACTATGTCCAGAGCTATAAGAAGAAGGAAGCAATGTGCCAAACTCGTCCCGTGGGACCGCTAATAATAACCAATACCTGGAGTTTCCACTGGTTACCAGTCTCTAAAATGTCAAAACAATTCCTTTAACCATATCATAGTTGCCATATGCAAATACTGTATCTTATGATGCAAGAAACATACAAATATATCCTTAGTATTAAAAAAATCAATGAACTGACATTTTTTAAAATTAACTGATCTTTCAAAACTATAATGAAACTGTACAGATGGTGATTATACTCAGTTTTTAAGAATTTATAAATGACTATATTAAAGATCTTCAGCAAACATAACAGGCTGTGAGAGATCTACAGGGCTGACATGCAGCAGTAAAGAGTTGTTTATAGACAAGTGAAAGAGCAGCCAAAGAGGTGGAACAGCAGGTCAGACACTCATGCTTTTTTAAGGGGTGGAAATGACCCAGCAGGCGCGAAGGCCGATTGCTGCAATTTAGTCATCCGTTGGACTCCCGGTACATGTAGGAAACACATCAATGGATTAGTTTGCCTTACTGTCTCCAGTTCATCCTGTGCAAGCTTCTCTTGTTTCTCGTGGTAGTGTCCCTGTATAATTTATTTCCTACAGTTTGTTTCTGAGATTGTTTCTTTGTTTTAACTAAACAGCTCTGAATAGACAGCTTCCAGGTTTAAGTTTACTGCTGACAATGGGTGAATATGAAAGCAGCATTAAGATTGCCGATAAAAGTTGAAGCTGCACACTGAGCCAGCTGTGTACGCTGTGTGCCAAAACCCTTATCTTGGTTCTACTAAATATCTTCCATTATTGCTGCTAGGGCTACACACATAAAAATAATTTGGATACCTAAGAGCAGCTTCCTCCTGAGTGACTTAAAGAACACCTAAAGAAGGTCTCATATGAAAGCACGTTTTTGTAAGCTTTCATCTAGAGAGGAAGGATTTGGTTGACCCAAAAACAAACGAAGGAAGCTGACCACTGGCCCACTAACAAACCAGAAGGAAGGTAACCTACCACAAAAGGAGCAGATCTAGAAACTCTCTGCCAGAGACAAAGTAACATACAAGACCTTTTATAGCTTCTTGTACTCCTCCTGCATATATCCCTGTTGTATCATTAAATGTTTAAACAAATGCTGTTTGTCAAATGTACAAGGATTAGCAACAGGATTTCCCATGATCATATCAGGTAGAGTCACAAGGTAAGGAAGGAAATGCTGTTGATATTGTTCAGGATTGCAAAGCTTTTGTGTTTCATTGTGACTGAAGTAGGTGAGGTAATGGGAGAGTATACCGTAGCTCAACAAAGTGAGATGGATTAGGGAAACTGGAAAACCCTGAAGATGGCATGAAAGGTCACAACACTAAAAATTATGACGTCAGTCGTTTTCACTTCTCTCACTCTCTCAAACACAGACACACATGGACACAGAGAGAGAGAGAGAGAGAGAGAGAGAGAGAGAGAATTCCTCATAACACAAATATAACAGGTTATTTCTTTATTTTATTTTTTTTTTAATCTGTCAACCCCAAATTTGAAGATACTTGAATAGCCTAAAACAATTAAAACTAGAATTATATGCATTTCTGCCCAGACTCATATAATATAAGTACACAGTGAAGGAATTTAATAAAAGATAGTGAGTGTATTTTTAGGCAAAATGGAAGTTATCACAATACTGACTTTTATGAGTCCAGTGAATGGTTTCCAAAGAGAAACATGTTATTACCTAGAGACAATTTTTCCAAGGGGATTACAGCGGACTGATAGAGAGTTTTGACACATCATCCTTGAGTGCAGGTGGACGTTTGTGGACATTTTTTAAAAATCTCCTCAAGGTGTTCCTAATATATTGCGTTCATGAGAACAGGATGGATGAATGGACAGAGAAGCCTATAAATTTAATGATAGGTAAAAATGAAGTGTGGGACATACAACATCAACTCATAAATTATTCTCCAGTATTTGTTTAATATCCATGAGCTCCAATGTTTTTCTTTCCAAACTATTGCTGTTATAAATTGCTACTGAATATGTTATGAGGAATATACTATTCATTATTAATAAACTTTCATTATATCAGTTAGACAGACAAGAGAGTTCTGCTCATTTCATGATCGTTACCATTTTTTAAAAATATTTATAGACTACTTTATCTCTTTTTCACCTAATTTTTAATTAGAAAAATTAACAAAAAATAAATTATATATATATATATGAAAATAAATCATTGATTGCATATAAAAAAGATAAACAACAGAGGTCAGTGTGTGTCTCATACACGCAAACAAACACACCCACCGGAAGGACTTGGTGAGGTCAGCTGTCACGACCTAAACAAATATGGCGTCCACAGTAACGGTGGTAAACGCTGTAGTTTTTCGTTATCTCTCTTCAGTTCACTAGTTTGGTTTTACAAATTATGGCTTTTGTACAGTAACTGTCTAAATTAATCAAATGTTTATAATCACTTCTCTAAACGGAAAACGAAAGTCGGAAAATAAACGGAAGTGTGGACTCTCATTTGAAACCAAACATCCGCATCTTTCACGCGTGTTTACATGCCAGCTCCTCGTTTCAGACGAACAAGGATGGAGGAAACATGAAAAATATGTTCAGCAAAACGTGAAATGGTGTGTTGTTTCGCCTGACACAAAGGACTGACTTAATGGTCTGAACAAGATGTAACGTCTGCGGAACTTTATGTCGCCGTAAACAAATAAACAAGACATGGACCTTTCCTTGGAGCAGTCTGAGGGTAGACGTTGATAAGTTGAAGGTACATGAACTTACCATGGCTTGGGTGACCCTTCTCATCTCCACGATAGGAAAATGCCTCGACGCTGTCTATTTATTACTGGACCTGAATTTTGTCATCGTCCACAGCTTGGTGCGGACTCTGCTAGCGGTGATAGCCTTTATAAACAGCCTGCCCACCCTCTTCCTCAGCTCACTGCAGGAGTTGGGAAACTTTACCGTGGTTTTCTTGATGTCCATAGCAGAGGCCACTTCAAACGTAGCCCACGGGACTGTCACCATGGGCGGGAGCTTGGTACTGGCTCTGGAGGGGCTGCTGGAGAGCCTAAAGATGGTGGGTTACCTGTCCATGCACGTCCTACTTCGAGGTAAAGAGCACCTGTATCGAGGTATGCTGTCGGTGCTGGAGGGCTGCAGCATCACTGTCAGCCTGGTGATCTATTTCACCAACACAGTGGTGAACTTTGCACTCATTGCCACTCAGAACACATACTTGGCTGTGGTCAGCGTGTGGCAGACGGTGTCTAGCCCACTGCAGAAGGTGCTGGAGCTCACGCTAACCTCCTTCACCTTTCTGTACAGCTGCCTGGTTGGGACATCAGCTTTCCTGTGGTCACCATGTAAGATGTTGCTGGACTTTCTGGTTTCACTGGTGCACATGTTCATCTCTGTCTTCATACTGAACATCAATGGCCTCCTGTTCACTGTCGCTATCATACTAACTACCACTGCCTATCTGAACCCAGAGTTGACCCAGCAGGCTGCTATGAGAATCGTGGATTACATGAACTCTTTTCCTACTCTACGTAGTCTGTCTCTGGCTCTACATCAACTGTTTTCAGCCTTGCGGAGTGCGCCACATTTTGTGCGTGGTAATATGCGACACGTGCAAAGGTTACTCTATCATCTCTACCTGCTGGAGAGAGGGCTTTGGCAGCAGCTGTCTCGACATGGCAGTCAGCTAGGCCTGGCGCTGCAGGCATACCTCCACAGGGACAACAACAACCGAGTGCGAGGCGATGGTGACCCCCCAGAGGAGCGTCGGGACCCGCCAGATGGAAGGGCAGGAGATGGAGACCACCAGGAGCTGCTGGATTTAGTTTTCCCCTCCTCCAGTACAAACAGACCGCTGGAGAAGGAGTTATCTTCAGACAAAGACAGTAAACCTCTGCCTGCTAAGAATCTGCTCTCTCTGCTGAAGGAGCAGGAGGACAGGAAGAAGTGTGTGATCTGTCAGGACTGTACCAAGACAGTGGTGCTGCTGCCATGCAGACACCTCTGCTTGTGTAGAGACTGTACTAATATCCTGCTGAGGCAACCTGTCTACCAGCAGAACTGCCCACTGTGTCGGCACATGATCCTCAACACAATGGATGTGTATCTATGAGGGACCAACAAAAGTGGGATGTCAAGGAGCCTCGCAGCATCTGTAGTTTAATGAGATGAGATGCTCTATGACTTGTGTCTAGTGATATTCTTTAATATGCTTACTGTCACAAATACATCAAGACCAAAAGTAACAAAGCACTGATTAGTCCATTTCTTAGAACTTCACCTGCCTGTGGCACTCATCCTCAAGCATATTCATATTCCCAGTGAAGACAATCTTTAAAAATGGCTCATAAATATATCATCTAATTATTTCTTTCAAGGTAACTTTTTCTAAAACAACCGTCCTTTTTAACAAAAGTTGGTCAAATAGGAGTAAACAGTGCAAACTGGTGAAAATGGGCTTTGACAATACAGACAGTACGTGTTAGTAAGGTGGATTTATTGTTGGTTCTAAATTTATAAGATTTATTGAAGCAACAAATTGAGAATATCACCAAACTTTCCTTTCAAAATCTGTGCACTCTCTGCGAGCAGTTTATAGTCAAGATATTAAAATAAAGGCACGCTGTGTTCCAGTGCCAAACTATAGTACATACCTACAGTGTACAGTATGCATACTAGTATTCAACAAATGAACACACAGATTATCTCTTGATTAATTTTTCAGTTCTGTGAAACATGTGACAAACACACAACTTCTCAGAGCCCAAAGTGATGTTTTATGCTAACAGTCCAAAACAAAACAAATGTAATTTACCACCAGGCATGATTTTTAAAAAAAGCAGCAAATCCTTAAATTTCTGATGCTGGAGCAAGTTATTTTGATTTCATGATTAATCAAGGGATTGTTACAGCTCTAAAAGAGACAGTAACATGTTTTTCCCGAATTGTTTCACTTCCATAGGACTCAAAAATCTAGGGTGCCTTGTGCTGATTATACTGAGATCCTGTGTAGGTTTAGTTTGTAGTATGGATCTGGGACATAGCTGCTGTCTCTGTTTTGGCACAAGATGTGCCTGTTAAAATGTTCCACTGTTGCCACGTTGAGTTTCAGGTCTCGTCGCCATGGTAACCCATAGGTGGCCTCCCTCCCTGATGCTGAACTGTTTTTCGCCCCTTTCGTCTTAAAACATTGTGCTTTAAGTGGTCCATGCTGTGAAGAAAGAGCACGACCACAGTGTCCAAATGATTCCATGCAGGTTGTGTGTATGAATGCTGTATGTGTAACAGTGCATTCTGAACAACACTGTGACCTTTGTTGCAGATTTTACCATTTAAATCTATGTCTATAAATATTTGTGTTGTATAGAGCATTGGACACAGAGCTGTGTAAAGATTTGAATGAAAAGGGTTTCCAGTAAGTGATGATAAAACACAGCGTCGTCCCATTTATTTGTTCTATTGATGGTGTTTCTTCCAGTCTTCCATCAAATGCATATTACAGTCACCACAACACAAAATCCATAAAAGGGTTCCCATTTCCTTTGTTGTTGTAATAAAACCTAGATCTCTGTTGTGTAAAAGGACCATAAACTAATAAGGCTTTACATTTCCATTTGTTTTTGTTTTTGTTTTTCCAGTTGCTACTGTCACAGCTGAAGTGTTGATATTGATTTGGGTTTAAAGTTTACAGGGCACTATTGTGACACCACGTTCATGCATTATTATTATTGATGGCGACTGTTGTGTCACCAGTTCTGTGGGGGAACAAAGTGCCACATGTCACATGCTCTAATTTGCTTTTTGAAGTTGTTGATTTTTGTGACTGAAGCTATGTAATACAAGTTACCAACATCACCGCTGCATTCCACAGATGTCACTAATGAAAGTGGTCAGAATGTCAGTGATTTCTAGAGACCAGACTGTAGTCATTACAGACGACTGCTCTTCTCAGGTATTGCCAAAGCACCAATGTGTTTGTAACTAAATGTTGCTGTGGCCTGAACACAGCTCCTGTGACCATCACCTGTTGCTGCCTGCAGTACACGTGAGCTGTGTGAACAGTGTGGGATGATGTGATTTGTGTTTTTTAATCTTATGGCTGCCACATAACCGGCAGGTCTTGTCTTCATAATAAAACATATTGAAACTGTCTCTTGTGATGCTCTTCACCACCTCAGCACATTATTCTAGTAAATGTTTTCAGGAGCAGGCAATAATCTAATACTAAAGTTAGTTTATTAGGACTGTGGCTAATGGTTTTCACTATTGGGTCATCTATAGATTATTTTCCTGATGCATCAGTGAGTTGTTTAGTTCACAGAATGTCAGTAAATAGCTAAAACCCCCATCACAAATCCCAAGAGGCCATGGCGACATGTAAAGATGTGTTAAAACAGCATTTCAAATCGGTGCAAGTCCATGTATTGTCTCAATGACCAATAACAGCTACAGTAAGCCCACACCACAGGACACACTTCCAACCAATTGAAATTAGGTCTAGTGCTTTAAAACTGGAACCACAGGGTTAAATGGCATCCAGTTTAAAATCCAGTCAAATGAACACGTTTGGGACATGACAGCTTAGGTCATCTGATGGGGCTGCGGTGGTAAAACAAACAGCACAGGGAATGAATGAGTGAAAGTGTGTGTGCATGTGGCACATCAGTTCTGGGTGTGCCCTGTGCTGCTGATTGATCTTCTCATTTACCAAAGTTATCAGAAGCTCAAAAGGAGATGCGACACCATTATTATCTTGTTGTCTTCTGACCCATGAGTGCAGTCCCTGCATTGTTGTACATGCAAATGAGGATGTGCTAACAGATGAGAGGAAGTTTAATGTCAGGGGATGAGCAGGGAGAAGTAAACTGGGGACAACTTCTTACCCTGGGGATCTGACCTCTCCCTTTTGACCCCAGCGGTCCTGGTTGGGAGCAGTGTGGGAAAATGTCAGACTCTACTGCACTCTTCCCTGCCTCACTCCAGCTCTGTCTTATCTCTTTATGATCACGGCCCCCATCACTTACTCCGACACTATTTCCATCCACTGTCTTCCGCTGTGTGTGTGTTTATCTTGATGTCTTAATGAATGGGAAAACATCTTTAAAACCAGAAGGATTCAGCGAGAGCAGCAAAAACGTCAGCAATGTCAAAGGTGAATTTCTAATAGCTACAAACAAGTGCTGCTCTGTAGTCGACCCTGGCCTCTGACCTCCCTATGGGCACACATGAACAATGAGAGAATTTCCCCATATAGACAAGTTATGGGACTGTTTTAGACTCTTACTAGTGAACCATATTGATACTGGCCAGCCTCACATGACATATTACAGCTCTGCTGTTATGATCCAAAGATGAACTGAACAGCTCGAAACAGACTATGCACATAGATTGCTAAGTGCCGATCACATGTGTCTAGACACAGGTGTTCAATTGATTACAACATACTGTGTGTATATCTGTATGTCTAACCTTTGATGACTTGATATTGTGAACGCAAATCATGAAATGAAAAGTGTTTATGGGCAAAGTTTCAGTCAAGAAGAATGAAAAACAAAGCTAGTGCAGTAAAAATGACAAAGGACAACATGGCCCCCAGACCACCACCAGGTCGATATGAGAACAGCCCTTGATTCAGTGATACTCCTCAAAGACTGCGCTGTGCATCTTTTCTTTGTGGAAGTCTTCTCAGAGATGTATTACCTTACAAGGAAAACAAGGTTTAAAGCAACCTTCAGTGGAATTTCTTGCTGATTGTGTCACACCAGCATAACCGCAGGCTTCTGTTCAGTATTTGTTTAGTGCAATATTTCAGCAAGAATCTATTTAAGTACAGCTGTTGATCTTAAATTCCAGTCCAAAAATGACCCACAAAAGGCTTCAACTTTAGTAGAGTTTACTTGTGATTAATCACTTTCTTTACTCCTGAGTGCATCCATTGAAAAACTAGGACATGGAAAGACCTATAAAGGAGCAAAATCATATTATGTAATATATAACATAGTCCTCAACATTTAATCAAAAGTCAGATGCTCCATGGAATACTAGTGTTTTAATGTTGCATCAGCTTCATGGATTTACAATAAACACAAGAGCACAGTGAGTTCCTCGTGCATTTAATTTTATGAAAATAATTCATCAGTTTAGTTTACTTGTTTCAGATCTAGATGACTGTGTCTATGTACTGTAAGTACAATTATTTTTGACAGTCAAGGCCTTCATTTATCAGTTATTATTTAACTACATATGTCTGCCTTGCAATTTTGTGTTCATAATCTCTCCAGAACAGGTTTTATTTTCCAAGTGGTGCATATCTGGTTGTCATGCAGGGATATGACGAATAAACCCTGAAGTCCCTTTGTGACATGATGGAAAGTAGATATGCAAAATCCTGATGTACTGTATTTTCCTGTCTTTAACATCCAGCCACTGTTGCACACATCATAAAAACACCTCAGGTCTCAGAGACTGTTTATCCAGCTGGTTGAAATGTTCAATCTTGCCCAGATGATGTGAAGCACAGTCTGATGAAACCTGACTTTCTGCTTTGCAGATGTTCCTGCAGACATTTATGGCTTCTTGAACAATGATACAACAGTGGCCCCTGCTGGACAAAGTGTTACCATTTTTAATAGAATCAGAATCAGAATCAGAATCAGTTTCAATCGTCAATTATGTTGAGCATATCAGGAATTTGTCTCCAGCATGGAGTCTCTCAGGCAATGGACAACAACATGCAGTAAACATTATATTATATTATATACATAATACATATTTCCTAAAGTCCACTGTCATCTCCAGTGTTTTAATTGTGTTCAGCTCTAGGTTGTTGCGACCACATCACAGGGTCAGCTGTTCAACCTCTCATCTACAGGCTGACTCGTCACCATCTCGGATGAGACCAATGACCGTTGTGTCATCTGTGAAGTTCAGGAGTTTAACAAAGGAGTCCCCTGAGGTGCAGTCATTGGTGTATAGGGAGAACAGCAGAGGGGCGAGCACACATCCCTGGGGGGTGCCTGATAGACCAGGCACTGGATGTGATTTTCCTTAGTCTCACCTGTTGGCTCCTGTCCGTCAGAAGCTGAACAATCTTTGAATAAGGTAGTTAAAAATGTAGCATGTTTGTATGACTCCCTGTATTTAACAGGAATCACTTTGGCTTTGAACTGAAATCACATTTTAGTTTGAACTGAATTCTGATTATACCTGTATGTACATTCATTTTAATATGGCAGTTGTTGAAGACAGTGGAAGTCGTGTCCTCAATATTATTTTGGTCATTTGGGGATTTTGCCAGCTGGAGGAGAAGGTCATGACACACAATTAAACATACATGTGGTGTGTTTTTGATGGGTGACTGTTTATGTTAGACCATATATCTTCATACTTGTTTCTAAACTCCACATGGTTGATATATATATTATATATATAGAGAGAGAGAGATTATATAGCTTCACATTTTGGGAAATGTGCTTGTTAGCTCTATTGCAGAGAAGTAGCTGTGAGGATCGATTCCACTGTCATATCTGTCTGTTACATTTTAAGCTAACACCAGCAGCCAGTCAGCTTAGCTTAGGGAAAACCATTTCTCTGACTCTGCCCAAAGGTAACAAACCTCCTACCAGCATCTCTGTCACTCACCAGTTAACTGAAAAGGTTTTACAGACACTTTTGGCGGCCAGTCAATCATACCTTACAGTAGCAGGGCTTTGTTGGGGAAATCTCAATCTCAGTATTTTCTAAAATCCTCACCATGGCCCCGCTCCTGATAAAGTATATGTGCATGCTCTCGTTTATCATAATGTGTCACTATGACTAAATCCTACATTTTAATCCAGATGTCAGACGGTTGCCTCATTGCCCAGTTCTGTATTTCAGGGAGTGATCTCACTGTCTGCTTGGGCTTCGAGGAGTCAGAGAACGATGGAAATGAATGATTGATGCCAGAGGGAGATTGATGAACTCCCTGCTTCTCTCATTCTACCCTAGAGGGAAAAAGTTATGAGGATATATTTAGACCTCAATTATGTGTCAGAGTCTCAGGGACTGAAGGGAAAATAACATTTCCTCATGTCTGAGTCAGTGTATTTGATGGGCACGCAAAGTCTTCCCTGGGTTCTGGTACTGTCAGTGTTTACCCTCCAAAATAAACAACTGGGAGAGACTCAGTAAACTAGGAAAATAATACACGTTCCTTTTGTTCCAAGCTGTCATCAGTGCCGGGAAGGTGGAGGCAATTATATCAACCAGCTCACGGTGTTGAAATGTAGCTTGTGAGTCTGTCAGGGTACTCACAGCATTTGGTGAAATCATTAGGCCGAGGTAAACAGAGGGAATATTTTCCAGGATATTTTCCAGCCTTTTTCATTATGGTATTTACTTTGGTAGTGCTATGTCATTGCCTTTGAGAATAAAATCCCAGAGGACTGGGTGTTGGATTTTATTACCAAAAAGTTCATGTTGATCAGTCACTCAAATATGTGCTTTATCTGTTACTTTATACTTCTGCTCTACTACATTTCAGAGGCGAATACTAACAATTGTTCCTTTCTACCTCATTATTCGTCTTAAAACCCTTCAGATTTATCTTGAGGGGAGGAGCCTGACCTACTCAGAGCCGCTAGACTAAAATACCTAACTGTATATGAAATATTTAAACTAGCCTCACCTCAACCAGCTGCACCAGTAAACTGCCAGTTACACAACGCTGCATCAGTATTAACAATCTAGTGATGTCACATATACAACAGCCCCAGGGGTCATTTGTAGCCACTTTTAGTTTGAGTATACCTTGATCATTCTTTTGTATTTTAACTTAAATAGAAGTGTGAAGAGTATTTTTGCAATCGAATCAGATTAGCATCTATCTAGTAATAAAACTAACGTGCACATATGGGGCCTAGCAAGCCTTTGAAAACCGACATACTGTAAATTACGCAGAGTACAAAATATAATGAGAACAATAAGAATCCACAATCTGCCACGTTTATCCTAAAAGTACTGGGTATCTACACTTGTATGTTGCTACTTGTACTGTCATGTAATTGTTGCTTTTAATTGTCATTTAATATTTGATCTAATTTGTATTCTAATGTTTTATCTATCTGCGTGTATTGTGTTAAGCACTTTGAATTGCCTTTGTTTATGAAAATATGCTAAATAAATGAACTAGCCTTGCCTTGCAAAGCCTGATGAAACTGATCTCTTCATATTTGTCACTTTCCATTGTGAAGGGGTGTTTATGGCCAAAATATGTCAGTCCTGTATGGTTTAAAAACTACAGTGTTTTATTCATGTTTATTGTACAGAAATCGATGTGAAACAAAGTGAAATAATAGCATTAAAGCAATCTGTGTCCTGGAGTTGGCTGGAGGCCACTGTCATCACATTTGTTACAAGGCTGCGACTGAATCACCGACACTACATAAACAACTCAGTGTATGCACCTCACCCCTCACCAGTACGGTATGTGCCATTCAAGAACATTGTCTGGTATGTTTCGCACTTATTACACAAACACAGCCGTACCAAGTCACAGCCTATTCACGTGTCTTTATCCAGAGCTTCTCAATTAGGTAACTAGAACAGGGAAAAAAATGGTTGTGGTTCATTCCCCAAAGTGGGATATAATTTTGTTTTGTTGATAGGCGCATGTCATGCAAACACAGCAGAGTTTTTCCAGTCTGAGTACACCAGGAAACCGGTGAAGGTGCTGTCTGTCTTAGTGCTGGAGTAAATCCCATTGTACTCAGACAGAGCCATCTGGACCCACACCTGGTCACCAGGGATGAGGTGGAGCAGGGAGCCGCCTGACAGAGATGCTGGTTTGGACCAGTTTCCATAAAATTGAAAATAAGACGCCACCGTGTGTCCATTCTTCATCAGGTCAAACTGCAGGCTGGCACGGTAGACTGTGGCATGGACAGCAAAGTAGTAGACTCCAGGGACTCTGCAGGTGAAGCGCCCCGTCTCTCTGTTGTAGTCACCCTGTTCGTTTAGCAAGATCTTGTCGAAGTGGACTGCATCGCCCACAGTCAGGGGTAAAGAGCGGCCCTCTGAGAGTTTGGCGCTGAAGGCCGATTTGGGTGCCACAGCACATTCTCCTGGCTGCCCCCTCTCCCCTTTCTCTCCTGGGTCACCTTTGTCCCCAGTCAGGCCTCGCATTCCTGTCTCACCTGGAGAGGAGCACAGACATAAATGTCCAGCACTGACCTTCATCACAAGCACACATACATAAACAAAACAGAATACCTTGGTATCCCTTGTCCCCCTGCTGTCCTTTCTCCCCTGGAGGAGCATCCCTGCCATCCCGGCCATCTCTACCTGGCTGCCCAGGACTGCCATGAACTCCAGGAGTGCCCGGGGTACCAGGGTGTCCAATACACAGACTGGGAGGGATCTTATTGGTTTCTAACTGGTTGGAAAGATGGATGTAGAGGATGAGGAGGGCGTGTAACAAGGGCAGCAGCCTGAGTGAGGTCATGGCAGTGTCACGGCTGAGAGAGAAGAGAAAAACACAAAGAGCTGAGACTTGCAAAGATAAAAGAAAGTCAGTAGTGGAAAGTAACTAAGTGCATTTATTCAAGTACTTAAATCTGAGGTAGCTGTATTTTTCATTTTGTGCTACTTCATATTTGACTTTTTTAAATCTGCTACATTTATTTGATAGCTTTATCTACTAGTTACTTTTCAGAATCAGATTAACAGTACAAAATACAATATAATTATCTGACTTTATTGATCCTTGATGGGAAATTCACTAAATACCCTGCAGTACTTTAAATTATGAACATACAGAGTAAAATGAGGTCCACCTTTACCAGCTATAGCAATAAATGTGACGTACACAACAATGTGTCAATAAATAAAATTCAATAATGTAACATATATCAGTGTGAAATGTGTTATTTTGCATAATGAGTGCTTTTACTTTTGGTACTTTAAATATATTTTAATGCCCAAACTTTTGTTCTTTTACTTTTGGATGCAGGACTTTTATTTACAATATAATATTTTTACACTGCGATAAAGAATTTAAGTACATCTTCCACCACTGAAGAAAGTATGGTTTACACACAAGTCTGTGGAGGAGTGATAATAGTGATCTGAGTAAAACAAAAGTACACCACAAATGCTACCGTATGCATCACTTCAAACCAAACATGATCAAATTACAGAAGCAGGGAGAGCACATACATTTTGGAATCGCAACATGTGTAAACACACTGCACTGAGTGTTTTCAACATCAGTTAGGGACTTACAGTATGACATTCACTTTACCTTTTTCTTGACAAATACTGTATACTCTGGAATGGGGTTATTTATTAAAGGGAATCAATCAAATTCATTTATGTGCAGACCTGTTAGTCAACCAGCTACAGATTCTCAACACCACTAAGACATAGGATAAATGAGATAATAAGATAAATCGTGCTGGATGATGACCAGTAGAAATTACTGCGATCTTTCATTAGAAATGATTCGAGCACACTGACCTTTAGTTCCAAAACTGTCTGTAACAAGAAGCATTTATTTGAATAATTAGGTCAGAATTGACCAGTGTCTCTTTTAAACATGTTTTGTCAGGTGCTTGGTGTGTGTTCACAGAGAAAACTTTGTTTTTCATCTGATTTTTCAATTGGTTTAAGGAAAAAGTGAAACTGAAATAACCACATGACATTACTGTGCCGGTATTATTCATTAACATTCGGTACTGCCAAAACTGTAAGGAAGTAACTAGTAATTTAAAGCAGATGGCAGTTTGGCTGTGTGCCTCTCCACTCAGGTAGACGTCTTTATAAAATCAAGGATGTTTAAACAATCCTAAGCGTAGATTCTTACTCAGACGACTGTGCAGGTGTGGAGAGCTTGTGTTTATTAGCACAGGTGCGGTTTTTGGTGCCTCCTCAAATAACTGGCTGGGAGTCATGATAATAAGAAGAATGTGTTCAGTTTCAGGGAAGAAATATGGAAGGAAGTGATGGGAAAAAGACACAAATGAACCAAAATGAAAGGAGATGCTACCCAGAAGACACAGAAAATATGTACATGAAATACATTTACATGATCCCAAGCTACAGTGTTAGGTTAAGCCATATTTAAACTACATAGCATTTAACTGTTTTGCATTATAAACTCTACATCTATGTGAATAAACATGAAGTTCCATTGAAGCAGACTAGCAGACTGCTACTGATTGAGCAACAGTTACTCATATCTGCAAAACAAAGTATTACTCGTCATGGTTTCTAAGCAGATGTTTCTTATAAAAGGTTGCCCAGAAACTACACAGTCACACCCACACGTTCAAAGGTTCATCCTCAGATCCTCTACTCTGTTTGTCTCCTTAGACAAACACAGTAGAGGAAAAAGCAGGGCCTTAGATAGCCCTGCATGGACGGCTGGAGTGTTGACAAACTGTACAACTGAGCCACCTGAGCTGCATAAAATCTGGTAATTAATGAATGTGTTTGTATAACAACCAAAACTGTGAGGAAGGAACCAGGAGTTTCAGCTTGTCTCTACTGTCACCTTGTTAAGTCGTCTGTGTGACACACAGGACCGTAGACCGAACTGATGAACTGAACAGGGGATTGTGGGTGGAGCCAAGGGGTGGCCAGGTCACTAGACACCCCCACAATCTGATTGGTCAGCCCTGGTGCCGCTTTTGCCACAGTCAAAATGTGATGCTTGTCAGTGTTAATGAATGAAGAATGAAAAACAACAACCCATTGCTGCCTGAGATACAACTAATATTTTTCTGGTGCTTTATAATTGATATTGGTCGAAGTAGTTGTATTCGATATCATGTATGCAGCATGATATTTAAACATATTTTTCTGTTTGTGTTGTTGTGGGGTACTTGATTTGCCTCAGTGGGCAGGAACCACTGTGCAGCAGTTAGTTGCAGACGTTAGCTAAAGAAAGCACTGTGTGTGTCTCATTTTTTACACAAAATAAACAATTTTAACTCAAATGTGCCCCAGCCTGGCTACCCTGTCCAAAATTTTCTAGATCCACCCTTGTGGGGGATATACAGCTGGCTCACAGCACCTGTTTCTAGGGGTTTAGTTTGTGGTGTGCGACACTGATGTGAAAATTTAAGGGTATTGTCATCTACAGTATCTGCAGGTCTCCTAAGTGCAACTGAGTGCTTACACCCATAACAGCTGCAGAGTGAGACACATAGAGGGTGGAATGGTGGGGTGAGGGTGCCAAAATCAGGAAAAAGGAGAGACGTAGCGAGAGAAAAAGAGACAGGAGAGAGAATTGCATGACAGAATTCCTGGCAGTGAAGGAACAAAGGACAAAGAGTGGAGAGTCTGAGCAGCTGTCTGCCACCACTCAGTGGCTCTGTGAACGTTAGAAACGTGATGGTTTTCCATAAGAGTACAAAAGCAGAACTGAATGTTTGTAAAGCACTTACAGGTGAACTACAGTGCTTATTGTAGCTCTGGCTACCAGATACCTACAGAATAGCTTTTAAAGCACTGCTGCTAAATCACTCAGTGGTATGGGGCCAAAATACATGTCTGAGCTTTATGAAGAATACACACCCAGCAGGGCTCTGAGATCCTTAGGAAGCAGTCGGCTGGTAGAACCCCAGGTCAGAACCAAACAAGCTGCTTTCGGTGACTATGCTACACACAGATGGAGTCAACTTGAACTTAGATGTGCCCCAACTCGGCCACTTTCACTTTGCAGCTGAAAACTCCGGGCACTGTTCTCATTTGCCCTTGACTGACTGGTTTCTGTGCTGCACGTTTGTTTCCTGTGTTGCATTTGAGGCACCTTACAATCATTGCACTGTAACTGCTCTATAGTCGTGTTTCTGACCTTTGGTTATGTCTTTATTTTTATTTGATGTATTTTCTTTCATTTTAGCAGTGTTTTAATGTTACTTCATCTTAACTTGTGAAGCACTTTGAATTGGCTCAGTAGCCTTTGTCTTTAAACACTTAAAACATTTACTTTTCATAAGTTTCTATCATATTGTATTTGTCATCAAGCCACTTGATCTGACTTTAATAAATATTTTTTACACATATGGAGACAGTTCAGTGTAAATCACTAGACTGGAATTTTGATTGAAACATGTTTTGATTTCAAAACAAAGAGAGTGATTCAGTTTTAATGACTTCTGTGAACTTTTACATGCAGTTCAAACATCTGATTTCTCTGTACAGCAGGAAAAGAACAGTCACTTGGAAAGGTTTGGCATTTTGCATTAAGACCAGCTAAGTGCACTGAAACTCAGTATCTGGCAGATAAAGGCAAAGCTTCCTATTATTTCAATGAAGTACTTGTGAATAACACCCTTACCTAGTAGCGGAAAGTACTGTACTTTACTGAAGTACTATATAAATTTGAGGTGCTTGTTTGCTTTCTTCTTTTCATGCCACTTAGACTCCACTACACTTATCTGAGAGCTTTAGTGCAGTTATGAAGAGCTTACTGTGAGTTAACCTAGCCAACAGTAAATACAGTTCAATGATTATTACATTACTATATAAACCAAATTCATTGTTTTTAGCATCAAAATCATTTTTGATGCAAGAATGCAAATTATTTCATGGTCTTAGCTTCTCAGAAACCAGGGCTGTTAGTTGTCATTGAGTATTTTCACAGTGTGGTAATAGTGCTTTTATTTAAGTAAAGGCACTAAATACTTAAATCACTCATAAATGTAACACTGGTAGGACTTGTTGTGCTTCATTATGACTATTTTTACGTTTGATACTTTGAGTACATGTTGCTACTAATACTTCACTTGCTATAAAGTATTATTAGACAATAATTTTGCCATTTTTATTAAAGTAAAGGGCAAAAACATTTCTTCCAGCACTGTCTTCAACACAGTGATGCACTCTGTGGTTCTTACTGGATGTTCTCAAGAAGAAAACATACCAGTACTTCAACACCAAAACTCTCAAACAAACCGCAGCCCTGACATGTGCAGACTTCACCAGTGTGCCCCCTGTAATTCAGAGGCTGAAGAGTAGCTTTGATTCACAGTTCATACACAAAAAAATCAAAACCTAACTTACCAGATTATGTAGTGAAGTGTTCGGTAGGTGCCCCTGCTGCTGCTGCTGTTTGTGAGTGTCGAGGAGAACCCAGCATACGCTTTTCCTCCCAACCAGAGTCTGGTTGGGAGGAAAAGGGTGGAGGAGAGAGAACAGGGAGAATACAGAAGGAAATATTTGATGTTAATCCAACACAAATAGAACCGAAACAATCAGCATGAACCGAGGAGTCTGGGAGATGAGAAGACATAAGGGGAGGGTGATAAATGGAGGAATGTTTAGGAGATTGCATAACAGTGTTTGGAGAAACTGAGTTTAGAGGACTGTGGTCAGAAAAAGGCAAATGTCACCAACAATGAACTGCAGCTGCAAATGAGCAGTCCTCCTCGCTCTATTAGATAAAACACACCTGTTTTTAAATACAGGCATCCCCTGACTTAGAATCACATGTTCCTCTTCTCTACACTATGATTTTCATCATCTGCCTCCAAGATTAAGCAATTTGGTCCATCCAGAATCCCAGATAGCATCTTCCCAGCAATATCAGCCTCCCACTCAAGCGAGACACTCTGACACTAATCCTCTTATCCCCATAATCCTTCAGTGGCAGCATCTAGTTGATAAAGAAAGAGCTCTTAACGTTTTTTGGCAAGGAGGCTAGTTAAACTTGAGCCAGTTAAACCTCCAGCAGCTCCCTTATGTTTGGGCCAAGGAAAACATGTTTGCACTGTTATCATGCAGCAGTGACCGCAAATGGACCAGACCCGTGCCAAAACTGGAGATGGGGGAGGAGTTTGAGTCTGCCGAATTAATCTGTGTGGGATAACAGAAAACGAGCAGGGTGAAGCTTTAGCAGGAATAGCACAGGGGTCTACAGCATGGAGAAGAATCTCCAATATGTTTTTGATATGTCTGTTTCTGTTGATTCAAGATAAAATTGACTTAAAAAGCTGTTTACGAGCTGTGTCCAACCATCATTTCTTATCATTTTATGATAGCGGATCAAGGGATTGCAATGTCAGTCAGCTGGTCGGTCCACCACGTTGGTCCATACTGAAAACTCATGGTTCCCTAAGGATGAATTGGAAAAACGTTGGTGATCCCCCTGACTTTTCTTACAGTGCCATCATTGGGTCAAAACATACATTTGTTCAATATTTTTATTCATTTGGCCATCTGAATTTTATACCTAGTGCAAATTAGCAAATGTTAGCCTGTTAAGATGATAAATTAAGATTGTAAACATGAGAAACATCTGGTAAACATCAGCATATTAGCATTTAGCTCAAAGCACCGCTGTGCTGCTAGCATGGCTGCAAAAAATGATTCATATAAGTAAATGTTTCCCTGTGAGTCTAGAGATGTCACTGACAGGTTATCCACACATGCCAAACATTATGCATGAAATGTGCTAATGCTAATGTTGTCTCAGAAAAAATATATAATTTCACCAGACAGGTTAGACTGCCACTCCTTTATGTTTGTAAGATCTGTCCTGGTTAAGTTAAAGCCATGGAGTTAAACTGATAGCCTTGCTATCTGCTACATATTTGTGAAAAAACATGCAAAAGGTTTGATGTAACCTATGTAAAATTGGAAAGCAAAAACATTAGCTTTCATATTTATTTCTGAAGGGTCAGTTTACCTACCACTAGTGTAGCAGTTTAAATACTAGCCAACAGGAAAGAATTGTAATTTTAGCTCAATTTTTGTGTGTCATGGTCACATATTGAGGCAATTACAATTTCAGAATTGATTGGGAAAGTTGGTACAAAATGCTGGTTTTATAAGAATGTGATGACTGTGACTGGGGTGGGGTGGGGGGTTGGGGCTCTTTGAAGCCAGAGGTTGAACCTGAGTCATCAGGCTGCTGCAAGGAGACGTTTCCGCAGGCTCCTGTGGAGGCAGTGAGCTGTAACCGAAGTGAGGCACGTTTTTAATTAGAAGCAACAGAATCAGCACATTCTGGGCCCGCTTCACCAGTTTCCTGTAAGGATCCATAAACTGCTGCTTGAAGGATTTATTGTTACTGCGGATCACTTGGCAAATGAACAGTTTGAATTCATGTCTACCGGGTGGCGGTGCATGGTGAAGTTAGCCAGCTAAATATCAAGTCCAGGTTAGTTTAGGGTTGACCTCAGTCTGTGATTCAGAAACAGCTGTCTCACAGTAAAAGCAGCAACATGTAGAGACTGTCCTGAACTCTGAAAGTTGTGAAGAAAAATGTTGTGCTTCTTAAAAAAAAAAAAAAAAAAGACTGTATTGTGATGATGCACCTATTTTCCAGAACATCTGGTCTTGGTAAGAAAAAGCTCAGTTTCGAACTTTAAAATTAACTCATTGTGCCCAGATGTAGCTAACTGCATTGTAACCTTCTAGGTTACAAGTTACTTTCACTAAACTAGTTTACAACAGCTTTTTATATTAAACACCACAGAAGGTGCTAATCAAAAATGAATTGTAAATTAGTAGAAAATCTAATTAGTAAGTCCCTCTGCTCTGATGTTAAGCCATTAGTCCATTCAGAAAATTCAGATATTTTTAGAGCACTTGTTCAAAAAGGCCATAGGACAAAAAAGTTTATTTTTGACATTTACTAATATTACCTTTTAAACTATTGTACCAGTGTGTTTTCACTATCAAACATACAAAGCTGAAATGATAAGCTGATTAATCACTGGTTGATATACCATGTGATAATCAGTTTATGTAATTTCTTAAGCAAAACATTCGATGATTTCAGCTCCTCAAATCTGAGGACTTGCTGCTTTTGCATGTCTTAAATTTATAACAGAAATATTTTGAACTGCTCCACAGCAAACAGACTCTTAAACCGGGTTTTGTAATTCATCACAGTGAATTTAAAGGTTATATTATAGTTGCAGTGAGAGTTTAAGTAAAAACTGGTTTGAAAAGTTACTGTTACCTCATAATAACAAACCTGCAAACTTGAAGTTCATTGTGATACAGTAAACACACACTGGGAATACACAGACACCTCGCATGATGGGTATGAAAATATTAAGAGTCTTATAGTAACATAACAGTTGTGACCTAAAGAATAAAAGATTTGTAGAAGAACAATGAACTGGTCATTCTTAAACTAGGAAACAACAGTTGAGAAAATACTCTCACCTCAGGACCATTTAGTAGCTTCTGATCATATCAAACAGTCTTTAGCTGAAGGTGGAGCCTGCTCAGTTCTCATGAGATTATAGATATTCAGATTTTGTTTCTTAACTTTTCATGGGTTAAAAGCAAACTCCCTCTACTGATACTAATATAATGATATGATATTGATACTACTTAATATAATTAAAAGCTCAAGAACAGCTTTTCTCAGCCACTGCTGTGCCACTTTGAACTCTATGAGTGAACCAGTCAAGAGACAAAAAAAGAGTAAAGGAGACATGTTTATTATTTAAACTATCACTTAAATAAAAAAGTGCATAGAAAATAAACATGATTAGAAACTTTTCTTTTTACACGTATGTACAACTTTGTTTCCAAATTATACATTCAACCATGTAGTTTGTGGTTTTCCTTCATTTTGTTGATGTGTACTGAAAGAACACTGTCAAAAACGGGAGAGAATATGACTTATGAATACCGTTGTTACAACAAGCAGGAGTATTGATAAGACAAAGGTATATTCAAGGCATAGGAAAACAAGCCTGTTTATGAGCCATGACCCCTCTTATTAGCCCGTCCTGTGCCCGCCCCCTCTGTGACACCACATCCCATCCTAGGCTGATAACTTCTGTACACAAGAAACAATTAGAAAATTACAAATACATGTTAAGTACTCATCCAAAGCTCCCAAACAGTGACTTTTGAAAAAAAAAACCAATTTAGGGAGGATGTTGCACAAAATAAATAAATTAAAATGTTTTCGGCGTCAGCATTTATGACTTTCTATAAAAACAGTACATGGTAAGTACAACCAAAGTTCAGCGAGAGAGAGAGAGAGACAGAGAGAGAGAGAGAGAAGTGATCAAGGACACGCAAGAGGTTTCCAAAATGAAAAAAACAAAACAAACAAACAAACAAACAAAAAAAAACAAAAACCTGCCATTTCGGTGCAATCATTAAAACTCCTGCTCAGTCCCCATAAACCAAACTCGTTCATTTATACCACATCAAGTAACCCTTCTAAAAAAAGTCCCTGTTAAAATGTACAAACGAAAAAACATTCACTACATCAAGCAGAGAAAAACAGAACAAAACAAAAACAAACAAAAAACAAAATGGCCGACCTCAAGAAGTTCACAACCACATTAATACAGTTACATTTGTCATCACATAAAAACTGTTTCTTTACGGAAAGAAAAAGAAAGAAAAACTGCAATGCTCCTTGCTGGTGAAGGAACACTCACAGGCACAGCAAAACTGGAACTGGATATCAATATACAAAAGAATGATGCACATTAGTTTCATCTGATAGTACTGTAACACAAAGCCATTATAGAGTACATTGAAACATTGCTATTAACCATTATAAATCTGTTGTTTTTGCTACTGTAACTAAGTTTGTCTGTCCATACCATATATTGTATAGATACTAAAGTACAAGAAATTACTTATGCATGTTTCCCTATATTATTGTTATGTATTTATACTATAATTACAGATAAAGACGGAGAAGGGCCACTGGTGTGGCATGGTAGAACCAAGTCCAAAGAAACAACGGAGTCCGGTTTCTTATTGTATATATGTGGTTTCAAATTGCGAAATAAATGACTTATTGGTTATTGGACCTTCTGACCCTGAAGATGCAGAAGTGGATCTCGAGAAGCGAGTCGTAGACAGAGCCCTTGGCATCAGCGAATGTGCTGTCACTGACGCTAGCATGAACTGTTTTAGCTAACCCACTAAAACCTGTTGTTCTACAGACAGAATGGCACTGCTGTTCACATATCTGTATTATTCCCAGTGCTGAAACGAAACTGCTGCTGCCCCCACTGCGAGGTCATATCTACACAGCATCCGTATCTACCAGGGTTGCTGACACAAGAACTGAAAACAAATGACAGCTGACACACTATCTACATCATCACAAGTCTGGTGATGTGAAGAAGGAATATACATTCATTGTTTACCTTAGCAGCAGAACCCAGCGAGCCCAGTGTAGCTGCAGCTGTACCACCACGAGGCTGGCCCATCAGTCAGCGTGGAGGGGCCTCAAGACCTGATCTTGGGCCCCACATGGAAAAAGAACAGCCAAGGTTTGTACACACTGAGCCTTCAGGAAGGAAAGGGCTGCTGGTGTTGTCCCTGTCTTCACTTTGTTGCAGAAAAAGAGTCAAGTGCACTTTGCTAGAGTCTCAAACACCACTGTCAGGAGTCATCAAGACCAGATTGAGGTTGACTGAACTCAGGGCCTAATGCACAAACTCATAAATGACCATCTGTGCAGGTGGTTTCAGCATTGGACTTGCATCATCTGTCTGGAGAAAGAGCTGAGTGTTCCTGTGTCTATTCAGTGCCTGTGTCACAGCTAAAGTGCAAATCACGTGTGGGTCATATTTTTGTATCAGTTAACAACAACAACAAGCAGTATGGGAGTTACTGCTAACGGCCTTAAGGTGATAACGAACTCAGCAAGAATGGCTAAGAAGGGTAAATTAAAAGGGACAAAAGCAAAGTCATACTGTGGAACCAGCCAGTCTCAGCAGTCCAGGACATGAAGGCTTGTGAGGGAAGAGATGCATGCTCTGTAGCAACTAAGGCAAACCATGAAGAGACTGAATCAAAGAATAGAAAATGCTCTGAGCACTGATCACCAGGAGAAAGTGGCTCAACAGAGGCACCTCCTTATTTTAGACCAAATCTGCAGTGGGACAAACCCCTTTCTGGTCAGATGTGAAAAGTTCATATGTTGTCAATTGGCTGATAGGTGAGAGGAAAAAAAAACCTGTTTTGATAAGACCTTCTGGTAGCAGCCTGTAAGTGGCCTTGATTCTCAGTGTGATTTGGTGTGGAGACAATAAGGCTAAACTCTCTCAAGTGCATAATAATAGTTCCCATGACTGTCATACTGTCAGCTAGAAACTGGGACAATGAAAAAACCTGCCAGCTCTGGCCAAACTGCCCAGGATTAGATAAAGAGCTACTGGTGGACTGAACTAAGATGGGACCGAGCCACAGACCAGCGTCAGTCTTTGGAATCAAAGAAAACATTCAGGATACAAATTAAAAAAGAAAGAAAAAATTATGACAAAAACAACTCTGAAAAGGCAGTGGAATACAAAACATAGAAACCAAGCATTAGTGTTTGTAAACCTCTATTTTCTACAAAAATGGCAATAAAATAAATAATTTTTAAAAAATATAAATACCATCATTAAGTGCTATTCACTTTTGAGTGCTTTTTAAGTATTTTTGTACAAAAATATACATTATTTACACTTGTTTTTAAAAGCAAACACGATATCCCTGTCCATAGCAGAAAGACAGATTACAAACAAGACTTAATACAAATAAAAACCATTTTCCATAGTTATCACAACAGGCCAAGAAGAAAACAAGGCGTGTGAAAACTCAATTCAAGGGTGAGATGTTTGGTTCTCGTTGCTGCTGTAATTTGGAACGTGATTCAAAAGTCCAAGCTTAAATAATTACCAAAAGGAAATCTAATAGACAGCAAGCAATCTTGCAACATGTCTCTCTGTTTCTAGGAGACCTGTTGCTTTAAGCTCCAAAAATCAATTACACATGTCTACTAAAGCATATCAGTAGGGTTGTCCAGTCCCTTGGCTGTCAGTCCACCAGAATCTCTAGCTGCCTCGCTCTGATGCTTCATCCTATCAATGACACGTAGCTTCCACACTCAGACTAAAGGTCTATTTAAGTACAAGGGATGGTATCAAGCTCAGATATCACCCTTTAAATTAATGACATAAAATACCCCCCCCCAAATCGAAATTAGCACCCCTCCCCACCCCTTCCTCTGTTTTTTAATCTTGTCCTTTCTGTGGCCACTCTGCCCCCTAGTGTTTCTACCTGTACAGCTCTTATCAGGCTGCTACACCCACAGACAGCTTCTATTTACAGTGTCGAATGTGCACACTTATATAAGCTTGTGTAAAAGCTGGATTGGGGGAAGGTTTCAGTAAATCACAGCGGCTCTGAAGGCATTGGGGCACATTCAGACAGGGAGATGTGGATCAGTAACAGCTGATACTCAGATTAAAAAAAAAAAAGAAGAAATTCCAACAATTAATGTACCTACCAAGTCCCTTCAACAAATTGCACTTTGGTGTAAAATGGAACCAAGTTCTTTGATTTATTTGTTTTTCCCTCTGTGTTCACATCTCAGCATTAGTGGACCATAACATATTTCTAGAAAATTAAGGAGGATGGGCCAATGTAAAAAAATGATGAAGGGATTATCATCCAAATGTAAATAATAATATTGCGGTGCTGTGGCTCAAACCATTTCAAAACTCACCACTTAAGGTGAAACTTCCCATGCCAAATATAAATGAGACAAAAAGAGGCACAATATGCTGGAATTCCCATAAATGGCTCCTCCTCCAAAATGGCCCTTCCTGCATAATCAGTACAACCCATAACCAGTGTCTCTGCTGTGCTCTGCCAACACCAGCAGCAGACACACGGCAGCTGTGGTCCCACGCAGAACAGACCAGTAATTTCGGCTAAAAGCCACAAAAAAAAAAAAAAAAAACCCAGCAGGGGGCTTCTGCTGATCAACAGACCTAGTCTCTTTAAACCGTTTATACATGAGTATCAGTTGAGGAACTTGCGACAATTCTTTGCACCGCAGTTGCAGGGCAGCTTGTTGCTGGCGTCCTCAATAGGGAATTTGTAGTCGTAGGTGAGCTCCTCTCCACAGTAGATGCGCCGGGAGGCGAAGATGACAATGTGCTTCTGGCCATCCACGGTGATCACCCGAGAGTAACAGTTGGGCTCACAGGAGTGGTTGATGAAGCGGGCAGCATTGCCATGCACTGTGGCATCTACCACCTCATAGTCATCGATGCGAAACATGTAACAGCCAATCCCCTTTGAGGAGAGAAAAAGGAAACACAGAGGCTGTATGTTTGATGCTCACAATACTTTGAGTTATACAAAACAACAAAAACATTTTAAAGTCAGGTTCACTCCCAAGACCTCACCTTTCCACTGTAATAGTTCTCCCGCTTGTCAGTGAGAACAGAACGAATGACATTTCCAGAGTATTCAATGACCATCTCCCCAGCATCAATGGTTTTCTTGCAGAACAGACCTCGGCCATGAATGGGAGACCTGCAGTCACAGACACGTCATTAAAGTCTCTGTATGCAGATGTAATCCTTTTGTTTTGGGAAGCCCTTTTTAATCAAAACTTCGTTCAGATATTACATTAAAATTACTTGTAAAATGATGTAAGAATATGAATAAAGGAGACTTAATCATGGAAGCCCCTAACAAATGAGCAAGGTATTTGATGTTGGTCTGAGCAGTGACGTCCAAAAGCTATTTTCACACAGAGTATATGATCAACGTATTGGGCAACTTTTCATCATCCAAAATGATTTAGAAATGATAAACAGAACCAGCATTACTGATCTAACCTGTAGACTCCAACAGTTTGCTTAAAGATGGCCTTCAGTTGTTTGAATCTCACAGTCAGAGGCTGCTCCATGGATGCTCGCCTGCAACGACAGCACAACAGTGAAATGCTATGATGATAAGATAAGATAAGATACCAGGGAGGAAATCTGGGTGCAGAAACAACAGGGATTTTGTGTGCACTGTCACTGACCTGGCAGTCCTGAGCTGCCCTTCCTCATCTTCCTCTTCTTGCGGCCTGTACTCAGGAGGCTGCCGGTGTTTTGAGGCCAAGAAATTGAACATGTCAAATACAGACCTCCTGAAGTGGAGATGGGTGGAAAGGACAGCAGTCAGAAACACAGACACAAAAGATGATTACTTTATAGAACCAGCAAAAATCATAATTCTGTATCAGTATGGTAACAAGTTCAATTTCTAGTGAGGAATATTAAACACATAAAGTAAGCTGCTGTCTCTCCTGTTGTCTACTGAAGTATTATTCAAACATAAAGTTCACAACTCCTGGGGGTGTGACAATACACTTATCTCATGAGACGAGATGCTATTTTAACACTATTTTTAAGAAATCTTCAATGACAAAATGTACAACTGCAAAAATGGTTTTTATTCAACTAAAAGTCACAAAATCCAAAACAATGTAGGTGCATTTTGAAATGTTTTAACTAATCATCTTGTGATGAATGTCACTTCAATTCTACTTTCCGAGTATGAATTATTGTATCTAGTAGAAGACAAAACATACTGCAAGCACTGTAAAAGGTTTGGCCTCAAACTCAGCTGACTGGCTTCTCTCCTGTATGATTTCACACGAGTCTTTTCAGACCTTAGAACTGTACATGAACTATGTATGAGCTTCTAATTGAAACCACGTGTGACCTTCTATGCTATTTTCACCCTCATCGCACCTCAGCAGGCGGTGACATCATCCGACAAAGGCGCTGCATTGACCAATCATGTACAGGGGACAATCATGGACGTCCACGGGAAGAAGACTTTTGTTTATCTTGTTTGTATAAGCATTCACTACTATTCACTGTTGAATTTGGGCCAACGTTAACGCACCATAACAACACGCCATGTGTTTTCGTTAGTACTGGATGTTAAACTGTGTTGTTTATTTATCAATGCTGACACTGGTGGTAGAAATGGTGCTAAGGTAGAGTAGGCTACGTTAGCAGCATCGCTAACCAAAACACTAACTCACAGGCTGAAAACGTGAATGAAACCTATGACAAGCCATCAAGCTCAGTGGGTGTGCATGTTAACGCGTGATCTTTGAATAACTGTTGAACATTTCCCAATGAATATAGAATAGCATTTTAGCTTGAAATGCCCATCCCTAGTACGGACTTTTTAAGTCTGAACATTAAGTACAAACTCCTGATGACGGGAGGATGCAGTACTCCCAATATGCAGCTGGAACACCAGCATCCTTGCTGACAGAGTACAGTGCTCTGAACGAGATAGAGCTGCCTGCTAATTATAGCTTGCTGGTTCATTAGCAGGTACAGTACTAAAACTCCGAAAGCTTCTGAGAAAATTTACATGACTTTGTTAAAGTGACCACATATTTGCAATTTCAGTCATTACTTTTTTGCCTGAAAAAATATGAAAACTTTATAAGGTGGCATAATACCAGTTCTAGGATGAAAATTATAACAGCTCTGAGCATCTGCTGAGCTCGATGAGTCACCAGAGAAGTCACCTATGTATACTCATCACAATGTGACCATATGGTACACACCTACAAAACTCACCCTGCAACCCCTCACCCTAGTGATGTTACATGTAAAACCCAAGCTTGAAGCTTGTGTCAAAAAAAGAGGGTGTTCCCAAATGAAGCCTTGCTTTAAAGTTTGTGTCGTTAACCTAACTGTCACGTGACCAGTGACAAATGAGGTCTTGTTTTGCAGGAATCATGTGAATGATTTGTTCTGCGCTTTGAGTGGATTGAGTAAAGGCTCGTTCACATGGATGATTCCCTCTACTTCCATCATTAACACACCATAACAGCACGCCATTTGTTTTCGTTAGTACTGGATGTTAAACTGTGTTGTTTATTTATCAATGCCGACAATTCTGTTAGCATGACAATTGTCCATTTATAAAATGGAGCCACAGACAAAGAGAAGGACTTGTTTGTGAACATTTTGGGCCGACTATTCTATTCTTTCTTTCATCAATGATAACACTGATAAAACTTTTTACATGATAAAAACTGTCATCTCACGATATCAATGATATAGTTATGCAATAATGTTCCCTAGTGCGCATATCAACAACACAAGCCCAGTGTCTGAGGGTGCTACTTCAACTGTATGACAGTGGTTTGGATACAAGAGGTCGGACCTCCAACAAAACACAATACTTGAAAATTGCTTAAAAATGCTTTAAACAACTGGTTAAAAAGCTCAACCCAAGATACAACATCCCAGGGCAAAAATATTTTTCTAAGACATCACTGCACTATGAAGCATGCCGTGACAAACTAGGAGATACACTGTTGTCGTGGAGTTTTTTCCCTCAACATGTGGTCAAAACCGAACCGCGGAACCATATATCAAGTTGACTGTGTACTATATCAATGACTGGAAGCTACTCAACTCCTTCCTTGAGACAAGCTTCTTTCCCAAAGATCATACAGGCAAAAATATTGCAAGTGGTTTAAGGGAGTTTCTTGACTCGTGGCATCTAGAAGATGACAAACAAGTGTGTGTGACAACCGATGAATTGTGCGCATGCTTTGCCCTTTGTGTACGTGATGCATTTGTAGCTTGTTTTTCTTTGGAAGAGGATTTTCTGCTCTTTGTTGAAGTCTGTATTGGACTTCATGCATAGTTCAGCTCTGTCACTTGCCTGGCCAGTGCCAGCTCACCTTTGGGAAAGTTACTAGTAGCTACTAGAAGGACGTGATGGTGGGTTTCAGCAAGTACTAACTTCAAACTGGGAATTCAATAGATATGAGTGGTGCATTTGTGTAACTTAAGTGTTTGATCAGTTCAATCTGCACTGACTCTGAGCTCCGTGGTGTTTCTCTCGTCAGATTGTTACCAGGAGGACAGCACGGTCAAGACATTTACTGGACAAAAATAGTTTTCATGTAGGCCTTTGAATAACATCAGTCACAAAATGCAACTGATCCCTTGTAGTCTGGAGCCCTAAGGTCCCTTCCTAACCTGTGGTGGATCTCTGCACGTGCTGATCCATGAGGGTTGATGGGAGGTTCATTGGATTCCTGTGGTTTGTGGAAGCGGAAACGATAGCTCCGACAATGTCTGGAACCATACAGTTGTTCCAACAGGAAGACCACTGCCTCATGGACGACTCCCAGCATCCTCAGTCCATTCACACCTGGGAGACAAGGAGACAGAACTCCACAATGAGTCACTTGCACTTTCCATTCAAAGGTTAAGATAAGTATCAGTCAACAGTGGACACTATGAAACACATTTAAAAAAAATCTAATCTCATTTGTTAATTTCATGTGGAGTGATGTGTCACCTTCAAAGGAGAGCTCTTTGAGTTTTGCATTGGAGCGAGCTTCCTGCACCTTATCAGTCAAGGACTTCCAAGCCTCTGTAGAGAGAAAGGGTATTAAGACTGCAGGACACATTATGTACAAAAATATAAAATGACAATGACCAAAAACATGAACTTAAACAGAAAGTGAAAATGTTTTCTCTCACCTTCAATACTCTCACAGCGGATGTGGAAGCCATCCTCACTGCAGATTTCAAAGATGATACCCTTCTTGGGTTTGCTATCCAGGCCTGTATCCGTGCTATTGCCATCTTGGTCAGGTGGTGATGCCACAAGAAGAGGTCCTGCTGCTCTGGCTGCAGATACTTTGTCTTTACCCATTACTTCTCCCGGCAAAACAGGACCTTCAGATGTCTTCATTTTACCAAGTACACTAGAAGAGACAGGAGGCTTGCACGATAAATTCATTTATTATCCATTAAAAAAACTGGGTGACTAATATTGATATTTCATACCTCTTGTTTGTTGCCTTATCTGAGGGCTTGCCAGTGTCCATAGGTTCAGGAGAGCTAAGCTCTTTGGATCTGCTTGCAAAAAAGGAGGAGAAGGATGAACCCTGGAATATAGTTTATGCAAAGTACTTTAATGAACAACTGGTAATTGTTCAGAAGTTCTACATGCTGTGACGGTGGACTGCTGATGGTTACGCGTCAAAAACAATCAGTGCAGTTTGGCTATCAAGATTTTCAATCAAGATGACATATTTCACTTCTGTGTGCCTTTCATGGCGCAGAGCAATAAACAAAATATACAGAAATAATTAGGATTGTTTTGGAAAAACATCTCATGAATAAAACACTTTAACAATTCCATTCTCACATTCAGAGAGAACTATAGTTCATCTTATCACCACACATATAGAATGAGGCTGTGAAGAACTTGTTTGAGATTATGACAGTAGGTAGTAGTAGTCATTAAAAAAAATTAGAGATTTTCTTCTAAATGTCACATTCTTTATGCCAGACAAACTTGACAAAGTTATTGCAATTTGAGTCACAGTATTCATGCGAATAGGTATAAACACAGCACGCAGTACTGAAACATTTTAAGTATCCTGTACAACATAACTATCTCACCTTGGGTTTGATGGGAGTCGCCCTGCAGGGCTGCTGTGGTGCTCCTCTGCCTGAGAGGCCTTGAGCTTTTTCCCACTGGTGAGGTCTGAACTCTGCCTACTCCTCTTGACTTTCTGTTTGCCTTTTTCTGCTCCTGAAACTGCAACTACTGCTGACACTACTGAGGTGGAGTTAGACGGCCATTGTTCTGATGATCTCGAAATAGGAGTTGTTCTACTGCTCTGGGAGTGTGCGGAGGTTTGTGTTTGAGTAAACACTCCAACAACACGTCCCTTAGCAGGGCTTAGAGGGGTGGCTAGACCAGGGGTTAAAGTAACAGTGGTGTTTGAGCTGGAGTCCACAACCTGGGCCCTGTTGACAAGCTGAGACTGGTGCTGTAAGTGGACATTACTTCCTTCTGTCTCTACTTGTTGGTTGACAGCCATGCTGATAGTCTGTTGGGAGGGCAGGACGCAGATGCTGCTAGCTATAGAAGTCTGCACAGGGGAGCTAAGCTGTGACATCAGAGGAGCTCCTCCTGCAGACTGAAGGACCATTGGCTGATCAGACAAACCTAAGCCATGTGGACTGGCCTTAAACAGGAGGTTGCTAATAGGTCCTGTGATCTCAGTAGAGCTGAGGGCGGAGAGGGAAACTGATCCTGGTGCAAGGATGCCCGTAGCACCACTAGGGGGCACAGACACAACATTCAATACTGACTGACTGGGGTTGAGACCTGAAACTGTGCAAGGTAGGAGATGAGCAGAAGAATCGTGACCCAGGATACCAGGTGGAGTAGAACCGGGAATCCTCTGCTGAAGAAGAGTAGTGGGATCCAAGTACATAAGCCCACCTGATTTTGGTCTCTTGATAATATTTGGGACCTTGCGCTGAGAAGTGGAGAGGGTGCTTAACTCAACTAGGCCACCAGGCTGGCCAGGGATGCTGGCAGTAATCTGAGGGGAAGACAGGTTAATGAGGGTCATGTTAGGAGGGCCCACTTCAGATGGAGCCAGAGTAGGCTGGCTACGAGAGCGGGCCAACTTTTTGCTTTTTCTTGGCTGAAGACGAGAGATGGGCCTCTTCCTGCCATGAGCAGAGGCAAGTACAGCTGGGGAAGAAGTGAGGGAGGAGGGACTGGACACTATGGCAACGCTAGGACCCAACTCATGTGGTCGACCAGCCTCTGAGACTAGAATCTGGGACTGTTCGTGGGGCTGAGAGGGCAAACCAATAAGAAGCCCTGAAGTGGTGCTGGGGCTTCCTGCTGGGAAGCCTGCCTGTGTGGCTCCTGTAAAAGTGTGAATCTGAGAGGGGTGCGGCATGGTGCCCAGGACTTTGCCACCAGCAGGAAATATTGGCTGGGCTGGAGACAGACCAGTATTTAGCCCCGTGGTAAGTGTCATAGAGCTCAGCACTGCAGGAGAGCTAGTGTCCATCACTCCTGTGGCACTAATTTTTTGCGTGACACCATTAGGGACAGTCTGAAGGACATAGAGGGGCTGAAACTGCTGATTGACCACAATGAGCTTGTCAGGGCCTGGTTTGATGACTGCTGGACTAGAAACCTGAGCCTGAGATGGTCCTGGTCCAGGGACTGAACTGGGGCTACCTGCAGCTACAGCTGATGCTGGGAGGTACTTTTGACCCTGAAGGGGCAGGGAGGGAGAACTTGGCAAACCAGGAGTACCAGAACTCCTGGGAACTTCTTGATTACCTGGAGGTTCAACCACCTGACCAACAGCAGGGCTGGGAATAAACTGCTCAGGAGTTATGTGCCCTTCGGTGACCTGTGTGTCCCTGTTTCCCAGAGTTGTAGCATCATGCTGATTCTCCGATGGTGACCTGCCTGGCCCTGCTCTTTTCTTGTTGCCACTCTTTTCTCCACTGATGGCCTCTGGGTCAGAAGTCAAGCCCAGCATGGTGTGGTCTGAGGTATCAGAGATGAGACTTCCAGCCGTGTGGTTCTGACTTGTGCTGACAGTAGGGCTGCGTGTGGTTAGGACAGAGAGGTCAGAGGGCAGCTCCAGAGGAAGATATGGCTCCTCTACAGATATGGAGCTATTCACAGTACTCTCAACAACACCTCCACCCTCAGCATTGGGCAGCGGCTGAGGAAAGTCTTCAAACAGAATGTCTTTGCGGCGATTGACATCCACTCCGACATAACCCTCATCCAGCAGCAGCTCTGAGGAGGAAGGCTCAGACTGCTGACCCAGAGCTTGCATTGACATGGAAGGTGTGTTCAGAACAAACTCCATAATGTCTGATGGCAAAATGTTCCCACAGTCATCACTGTTGTTGTTGTCAGAGTCTGATTTAAGCAGGTCTGTGCTGAGGGACAGCTGGGCCTCGAGAGGATCCTGACCCTGATTCTGTGTTTGGGACTTGACCCCGAGAGGAAGACAGTTTTCTTTCAGATTCTTTCGGCCTTCTCGCGTGTTGCCACTTACTGCCCCGCTGCTGTTGTCAGCCTCCTTCCTCAAGTCATGGGAGTCAGGTTTCTCAGTGTGCCTTTCTCTGCCCCTTCTCTTGGGCGTGCTCTTATGTGGGGTGGAAGAGGAGGTGGCCGTAGTGGTTGTGGTGCTGGTGGTGCAGACACTGGTATCACTTTCTGAGCCATCGTCAACACCGTCAAGCTGGCCAATATGCTGCTTCCCTAGGGTCCTGTTAAACACATCAAAGAAAATATGTCAAACTGTTCATAAAGACCACAGAAATAACCAAAAATACATTTTAGCTAATTATCTTTTCAAAACCACTGTGTGCACTTACAAAGCACTCAACATGTCCTCTTCAACTTTTCCTTGAGTCCTCTGTTGCTGCTGCTCCTCATCTTTTAGAAAGCGCTGAAGCTGAGAACCCCGTCCAAGACACTGGTCTATCCCTTCTATAGACGGCAGGCCCTCACCAGGGTTTATTATTGTTCTGGTGAAGTTGTAATAGTAAGGGTCTTTACCCCTCTGTTTCATTCCATTGTCTTCATCCTCTCCACTGTCCCCTGATGAAGAGGAGGTGCTCATGTCATCTGCTCCATCCACCTGTCCCTCAGCTGACTTCTTGCGACCACCAGTCCTCCTCTTTACCATGGCCCCAGCTCCATCCCCGCTGCCATAGAAGGGCAGGTCCTCCTCTCCATATGAGCGAACCCCATAGAAAGGAGTGAGGCCAAAAAACATGTTGGAGCGAGCACGGGCACTGCGTCGCGGGTAGCGCCGCTTGGCTGACCCTGACCCGTCACTGTCATCCTCGTGATGTTTATCATCCATACCTCTGTTATGGTCATCTTCTGGGCCATCACCCTCATCCTCAGTGCCTTGAGTGAGGAGGCTGTGGTGGTCTCGGAGCTTGCTGTGCGAGCGCTCCTTGCACAAATCGTCTTCCTCTGTCTGAGTCTGGGTGTCAGATTCAGAGCTGTCACTGTTGCTGGTGGAGGGGGGGGAGAAGAGACCAGAGTGGGCTGAGGGACGGGTCCCCTGTCCAGCAGGAGAAACAGTGGAGGTAGTGGTCGTAGGGCAGGAGGAAGAAGAAATACCACCAACAGCGCTGGTCCCATTAGGGTCAGGCTTGAGGTCAGTCTTTAGTGGAGTTACAGTGGGGAGTTTAACGGATCGCTTTTTCTCTTTTGAGGGGAACTGTGGCTGGTTATTTGTTGGTTTGGTGTGAGACTGGGAAGAGGTCTTCAGTCCTTTCTCTGGAGCTAAACCAACCTGCTGCAGCTGTTGCAAGTTGTTCAGATTGGAGCTGTTCTTTCTCTCAGGACAGGGGTAATTTTCTCTGCTCTTTGAGGATGACCTGTCTCCTTCCTGGTTCTCATGCTTCTCTCCCTGAGCCTTCCCATGGGTTTTGGTGCTGTTTCCTAGCACTGCAGCTTTGCTGTTGCTGCTGTTGTGAGAGCTGGGGTTTGTAGCATGTGTGTTGCAGCTGCCAGTCGCTTTAGTATTATTGTTGAGAAGCAGATTTTTGTTGCTGCTGTTGTTGTTTTGTAGAGTCTTCTCTCTTTCACGGTCTTTGGACACTTCTCTGCTGCCTGCCTTAACTTTGGGGTGTTTTTCTTTGGCAGCTGAGGCTGCAGCCGGGGAGGCCAGGTGTATGGAGCCTCGCTTGGTGACATCATCTTCCGCTGGTGTCCTCGACAGCCACAGGGGCCTCACAGCTGCTGCTGAAGCTGAACCCGATGAGTAATCGTTTGATTTCCACACAGTGGACTTCTGAAATGAAGGCTGTGGGGAACCAGATTTCCCAACAACAGAATCCTTGTGGTGTGAACCTGTCATTAAATTTCCAGTGCCGCTACTAGTCTCCTTCCCTGAGCCAAGCTTGTCCTTAGGCTGGATGATGTTAGAGGTGGAGCGGCAACGGTGCAACAAACTGAGACTTGCAGAAACATCCTGGTCTTTGCCTCCGTGTTTCCCTTGCTTGCCTGTCTGCTTGATGCTGCCACTTCTCTGCTGACCTGTGACAACAGTAGTGCCCACAGGAGGGGAGGACTGGCTTGAGTCTGCAGGTGCCAGTCTGGTGCTCTTACTCTCTCCTCCGGCCTGTTTGGACTGACTGCCAGGGTTACTATCTTTCCCTGAGCCAGAGTTTTTGTTTCTCTCTGTGCTTCTATAACTGGAATCTCTAGAGGGAGGTCTACTCTTGTCAGAGTCCTTGCTAGATGGTCTGTCCTTACCTTGGTTTAAGTCCCTTCCTGTTTCCCTGCTATACTGTCTATGCTTCTCAGAGTCCCTAAGCCCTATATCTTTGCTGAGTGACCTAGCTTTTTCTATATCCTTATAACCTGAATCTTTAGAGGATGATTTGCTCTTATCTGTTTCTCTATTGCTCGACTCTCTGCTTGCCTGTCTCCCCTTTTCAGAATCTCTGTTTACTTGTCTCCCCTTTGGTGACTCTCTTAAAGGATCTCTACTGAGAGGTCTCCCCCTCTCAGATTCTTTCAAACCAGAGTCTTTACTCAACGGTCTCCTCATTTCTGGCTCTTTGGCTGATTGTTCACTCTTATCAGAGTCTTTCTGCCCAACTTCTTTGAATGACCTGATCTTGTCAGAATCCTTAGGAGCTTGGTCTCGACTTGATGCTCTCCCCTTGTCAGCATCTCTCAGCCCTTGCTCTCTGGATGGTTGCTGTCTGTTTCTGTCTGTGGAGAAGAGTCTACCTTTTTCATCGTCTCTCTGGACCGGACCCTTTACAAAGTCTTTGTTGAGGTGTTTGGACTTTTCGGGGTCTCTGGCAGGGGAAGGGATGAGGGGAGGGGGTGACGTAAGGGGTCGTGATGAAATCTGCAGTGGCAAGGTCACCCCTCTCTGCCTGTTTAGCTGGTGAGGAGGAGGAGAGAGAGAAGGGGAGCTGTGGCGACGGGAGTCAATATTCTGCATTCCCAGGTTCCCCAGGGAGTCCCCTACCGTCACAACCTCATGGTTTTGGGACTGAGAGGTACCACCTACAAAATAAAAGCAATGGAAATTGAAATAGAAACTACTCTGTGGAAGGCTGTCACACATTCCACTGGATGCTTGAGTTACTTTGAGACAGATATCTACAAAGGAATATCAATATTATCTGTAATTCTATAACCAAATAAAAAAAAAAAAAAAAAAGGAAAAATGCATATTTGTACCTGGAGAGGGCATGGGCCTAGGGCCATGTGAGCGCTGACAAGGGGGGTAGCTGGGATGTCGATTCCTGGTGTAAACCCTGAGCTTGGGGGTGTTAGTGGGGGAAAGGGTGTCAGAGCGTCTTGGGGATTCAAAAGGATCAGGAAAGTCTAAATATGAAAAAAAGATAGAAAATTACACAAAACACAGTCAAATTTAAACATATTATAGTCCCAAAAAAGGTACATGAAATAACACACTGAAAACTGAACCACATAAATAGTCAGTAGATCACCTGCTACAGGAGGGGGACTGTGTGCTATCGTGCGGTTCTCCTCTGGAGCCACCTTTGTCTTCAGGTCAGACTCTGCCACTGGAGGGTGACAAACTAAGATCCTACAGGTGTACACACAGCGCTTTCTAGCATCTAAAGTACTCCAGTACACCCTTGAACACCTGGACAGAAGAGCATGTATTCAGTTTGACTCAGTTAACTTGGCTACTTCATTTTACTCCAGCCGTTAGATGTATTTAAAATATAGAGATAATAGTGGTGGTGCCTGCATTGCAAGTAATGGCACTTACAATAACAAATGGTAATAAAAAAAACTTACTGGTATCCTACAGGGAAGAGTTTGCGTTTGGAATCTGAGAGTTCAGTCAGAATCCCTAAACAATCAATGGTCATGGAGCCTGCAAATGATGAATTTTAAGTCAGCAGTCAAGATACACTGGGAGTAAGCCAAAGAAACAGAGTGGCATTTATTGAGCAACATTTACAGTACCAGCAATCAACCTACCGATCATCATATGGACATTTTCAGGCTCCAGTCCTGTCAGCCACTTCCTCCTGAGACTCATGCCCTCCAGGTCCACCAGGACCCTGCGCGTCACCTCAAACTCAGACACTACCTACAGGACAAAAATTAACAAATACATGTAGGGTGAAGAGAAAAATAAGAACACCAAGTCACAGTTCCTGACCTGGAACAGTTCAGTTACACAGGATTTACTGACTAAGTATCAAAAACATGAACCTACTTTTAAGGTGGCTACCATCTAAATTTATTAATGGGCTTTAGATGATATTGTATATGAATAGATTTCCTTACTTCTCCCTTGATGAGGTTCCTGTGCTTTGGACAATAGATTTTCTTGTCTTCTAGAAAGACGCAGTGGCACTGGCGGGCGCACATGAAGTGGTAGTTACTGGTGCAAGAGGTGAGGCAGCAGCTAACTGTGGCCCCTGGCTTTTGACACTTTTCACAGCGCTGAGCAGAAAGTACAACAGCTTGAAAATGTCTGTCCAATATACACAAAAAATACAGTGAGAACTTGAGTGGACAAAGAGTCCAGTCTTACCAGCTGTTTTCCCCTGAGAACAGCCATGTGAACATTTTTCAGTGAGCCGTCATCATCCTCAAACACCTCGGCAGACCACAGGGCGCAGTTCACATGGGTCCACTCATTCTGACCAATGTACAACAGCCTGCCACCCTCCTGAAACATACAGAAAAGTTTCAAGTGACACAGCCTCAGTCTTATGTGCGTCAAAGTGATTTCATGCAGATTTCTGGCTCACGTTTGTGTTCTCGTCTCCATACTTCAGACACAGGACACACTGCCTGTTGTCACTAATGCCTGGTGGAGGAGGAAGCTCTGGACCGTCCTCACGATCTGAAGAGAAGACCACAAAGCAAAGGAAAAGTTTAAAAGAAAAGCCGTAAATGACAAGTGTAGGTAAGTATTTGTAAACATATTTATGGCCTGCCTTACCAGGTAGGAGTGGGGGTGGTGGGGGTAGAGAGGGAGGGACTGGAGGAGGGGAGGTGGAAGAATCTGGTTCTCCGGGGGTGTTGGGCTGGGGAGCTGGGATGATCTTTTTCATGAGGTGGGGGTGCTCAGCGTGGGAAAGTTCCTGTCTCCCCTGCCACTGGGCATAGTTGTGGTCTAGGGATGGTGGCAACACAGCGTTTGGGAGGAGCCCACTGCTGGGGAATTGCAGCAAACAGGTGGAGAGAAAAACCTATTAGTACTAACACAGACTGGGTAAAATATGAAGTTTTATTTGTTTTATGGCCAATGGCCTGGTGTAAACAACAGAACAACCCCCAAAACATGTCACTGAGTAGGTTTACAACTTCAGTTAAGATATATATCATCATATGAAAGAACGAAGATCAGGGTTAAGTCTATCACATGTCAAAATTCAGATTAATAGGCTAAGGCAGCTTTAGTGGTAGTGCTCTTTTCCCAAATAAAGTCTTGCTTTGTGGTAATTATTTGGAGGTAAGCACAATTTTTGGATATTCAAGTTACCTCTTTCTTTTAACAAATCTTGCAACAGGTTCTAGATAAAGGCCAGTGCCTAAAATGACATGGAGGGTGAGCCAAGTAAAATCTTTATTAAAAGTTTCTCAGCATAGCAAAATGTCTAAATTGTGCAAAATAGGCTGCTGTCTTTCTGCAACATGTTTTCTCTAATCTCACCCATGAATAAACTGTTAGATTTTCCAGGTAGCCATCCACAAATGGCAATTTACCCCAACATGCAGTCACAGAACCAAACCAAACCAAACCAAAACAAAACAAAGAAAGATCATGTTGAAGGAACTGCTATTAAAGGAAGATGCAAGAGATATGTTGTAGTATAAGCAGTAGTACCTGCTTAATCCCTTAATGCTATCATCTCAGGATATTTTCCTCAATGAAGTAAAAAAAAAAACAATCCACTCTTCTGAGTGAGCAATCACACCAGTAGTAAAAAATAAATAAATAAAATCACATCCAAGGACTTTTGTCAAGTCAAGCAATGTTTGGGAACTGGTGTGATGCAAAGTCTCACACTTGATCAGCCAGCAGAGGCAGCTAAAAAGGCATCCATCAAATAATGGCCACAGAATCCACTGAGCAGATCACTGGTTTCCTGGACTTGAGCGTGGCATAACGCAATAGAGCACACTCACAAGTTAACCACAGTCAGACCACATACAGTACATAGCAAAGAGTGTTCAAGTGAAATGTGACACGGTTATGCTTTGCTTCCCACAGTGCCTGGACACAGAATAAATGGGGAAAGCTGATAGGTAAACATCAGCGAGTAACTGAATGAATGTGGGGGTTCCATTGAACAAACTGTGGAATCAATTTCATTACTGCACCTTGACATCATGACTGGGGCCTTCAGTCATGGTCATACTGTAAGCCCAGGTATATGCCGAAAGAAAACCACTTGTCCACTAAAACTGCTAAAAGAGCTCCTTTTGTTTTTTGATGCTATGACTGAGAAAACATTTTAGTTATGATCCCAAAACTGAAAACATCACAGAATGTTGCAGATTTCCTCAACCACTTGAAAAGAAAAAGTGACTATCATATAACATCCTGATCTTGCCACTTGGCTGTTATTTCTTCAGAGGCTACTGGTATATTCAGCACACTGATTTTATACTGTAAATATCAGTTCGCTGCTTTCTGGTTCCATCCTATATACAGACAGACATATGTACAGCTTTACACAGAGAAACCACATCATACTTCTCATTTTAATAATTATAGGCCAGTTCTTGAAAACTGCCGTTCTTCATCCATAATTTTTGGAGAAGCTCACATTACAAAGTATTAAAACAAATTCCCTTCTCTGTAATTACAAACGTAACATGCAGTCCAAGTTTAGAAAATCACACAGGTCATTAAACTACTATGACTGAGAACACTGCCTACAGGGACCGAGTTCATAATATTTTGAGCTTTTGCCTGATTTTAATGCTGTGCTTTCAAACCTTTTACATTATGACCAAACTGTGATGCAAACTGCTACAGTAAGTAGATATACCTACTTCATTTCCAAAAACATTGTCAAATAACTACATATCACTGTAAAAGTAATATACAACAACTGGAAATCATAAATGATGGCTTACGTAACTATAATGAGTTCCTCAGGACAGTTGGGTGCTGTACAATGAGCACTGTGTAATCAGTACAACCTCTTCTGTTGACTAAGGGGTATCAGACACTCACCTGGCAGAGACTTTTTGTCTTTCCCAGAACCTGGACTCTTTCACTTTGAACCATGGGAAGATTCGGTCCATTTGCTGAAACAGAAAACATTCCATGAAGTTTGCATTTCAGATTGCTAAAGCAAATGGGGCACAATAGCAGTTCGTCATCCTGTAGCTCAACAGAAAGGCCCTAGTTAGATGTTGCTGTACTGTAACTGAGACACTCAACCTATACCTGCTGCAGGGGCACCCCAAATCAGAGGATAAAGAACAAATATATATGTAGATAATTCTTATTTTATTTTTCAGAAACATCAAACAAGTGTTTGTCAACATGTACATTAATATGTATTTGTTAGAAAATCATATGGCTATAGAACTTTATGAACAACACAAACTGTTGGTGTAGATTGAGCTCTTGTGAACAGTGATGCTGAGAGGGCTGATTTAAACCCAGAGCTGTTTTGAGGTTCTTACTCGTATAAAAAAAGACTTGACCATGCTGTTGGCTTTCCTGCTCTCAGGCTGGCCACCGTCACTGTTGATGGCCGTCTGAATGATTCGCACGATGTCGTCACTAAACTCCAGCTGGGAGAGAAATGACGTGCAGACATATAGAGAGCAACTGTTAATGATATGTAGTGCTGATGACCTTCACGATCCAGTGAGATGGTAAAGAAAACCAGTGCCTTCTGAATCAACCCTCACTGTTCTGACCCCACATCCTTTAACTTATGTTTAGTAAGTATTTACCCATGGATAACTAGTACAGATCCCTCCCATCCAGGAATAAATATATAGTAAATACACTCACACATTTACTGATTTAGACTAAAATGCAGTGGACAACATAGTTCTCATATGGTCTCTGGAAAGTTCCGGTTTGTCAGATCACGAGACACTGCTCGAAAGATAACAGACTTACCACTGAATTGTAACGGCCTTGCTCCATCTTTTTCTCAACAGACTCCAGGTCTGGAGGGGAGTCACTGGCAGGTGTGGGGGTGACTTCTGTCAGGACTGGAGGATCTGGGCCCTCCGGGGAACGTCGGGATGGAAGACTCTCCTCTGTCTCTGGATTCAGCTCTGGAGGCTTTACCGCCTGTCCCAAAGAGTTACACAGTGAGTACAGCTCTCTCCATTATGTTCATTTAGCTGTGGTGGCTGCTTCAGCTGTTTGTCAATGAATATATCAGTCTATCCATCAGTGTTTACTCTGTAATCTTGAATGCAGCCCCATAATATGAAATAGTACATCACTACTAAAAGAATTAATGAAAAGCAAACTGAAACAATAATACATTTTCAATTCACAATTGACAAGTTCTACTAAAGAAGAAAAAGGAACAGTATGTGTGTCTAACCTGTCTATAGCGTAACAGGTGTGCGGATGTGCGTGAGTTGAGCAGTGCACTGAGGACGTGGCGAATGCAGCCCTGAAGCTCCCTCTCCAAAGCTGTCCTCCACTCGGCCGGATGGCATTCAGTGCATTTGGTACAAGTGTAGGAAACACTCTCTGGCCGCTTTGACAGCAGTTCGTACATTTCATCTGGGGGACAGTGAAAGACAACAGGTCATTATTGCGCCCATTATTAAGTTTATCGTCTTTCAGCATCTCATCAACGTGACGGCACTCAGAGGACAGCCTGTCAGTCAGCAGCATAGACACTGACATCCTGACAAGACAAAACGAAGTGTGACAATTGCTGCTAAATACTAAATACAGTGCTCTACGTGTAAGGAACATACAGCAAACGTGTGCTTTCATCCAATTCTCTACCTGCTTATTTGGAGCCTACTGACCTGTCAGATTCTCACACTTGGCATGAACCCAGCGGTTGCAACGACCACACTCCATCATCTTGCTGTCGTAGTCATCATCATCACAGCACTTATCACAAAGTGGGCAGAAGTTGCCTGATAGAAAATAGTGACAGCTACAGTCAGATTAAACCACTCAGTACAGTATTTCTTGGATTTGTTTTAAACATCTTGCTCAGCCTAGTAGTGATTTCTAATTCTTCAACACACAGGTCAGATTTTAAAGAAATTCCTCTCCTTTTATTTTAGAAAGAATACCAGCGATGTATATACATTCGCTAATTAAAAGTTAATGATATTTTGTTTTCTACATGCTTGTTACTCACTTTTAGCAAAGAGTTTGGCACAGTCATGACACATGGAGAAGTCATGTGACCACTGGGCATCCCGGGTCTTCCCAGGTTTAGTGGCTCCACAACTTGTACAGCGCACACACTTAGTGCAAACCTGAAAAGAAAGAATACGCAAACAAGCCCATGAACACATGGCAGAAACTAGTGAGCAGTTGTTTAAGAGCAGAAATGGCGTGAAAGTGCCCCTGTGAGAGAAGTGAAATGTTTGTATACACACCGCCTGTGCGAAGGTCACATGACTGTAAGTAGCACAATTGTGAGAAGTTGGGACAATGTGTGAACAAAAGGAGAGGTAAGAGAAAAATTTGTGGGTATAATGCTAATGTTTGATCAGGCAGTGGTGCAACTGTGATAGTCACATAAAGGTGAGAGGGAGAGGAGGATGTCTAAAGACAGAGTGGTGTGGCTCCATACCCAGACTCTCTTCTTCTTGGTGGGTCTGGTGGGGTGGTTTGGACCCAGGCACTCCGGGTGATAGCTGTTATGGCACTTATCACACTCTAGCAGCTGCTGCTACAGTGACAGAAGCCGAAAGTGAGATTGGATTATGTAAATATCCCAGGAGGCGGCGTTAAAATTTTCACACTCAATGAATAAGAGTTCTGGTCCCAGAAAATTAGTAACAAACACATCACCACATTTTCACCTGTAATAATAGTATTCACCTTAGTTAATGTTGTTTTGAAAGGAACAAATGAGCAGGTTAGATGCAACATTGCAGTGTTTTCAACCGATGATTAGTGCATCTAAAAATTTATGCAGAGCACATGTCCATCACTCTCAACCACCCAAGGTAAAGGCTTTACAACAGGTAATGAGTTGCAGCACCTTTTTCCTAAAGCAAACCATGAGCTATTCTGCCATTCACAAATAGTACAAATCAAATGCCATGGACTTGTTAACAACACTTTCATGTGACTTCCGTTCAATATTTGTCAAGTAGTGAAACACTATTCAATGTTAAAAGGTGTTATAAGAAGTAATTTTACAAGCGTGCAGCCTAGAGTCTGTGGTATGATACAGTATCTCTGCAGTGTCTGACATGCCAGCAGTCTTGCCAGGAGCTGAGATTTCAGGCTTTTAAGCTACACTCGAGTGCCAGAGACCTGCTGCTTCTAGGGCAGCTCCTTGGTCAGAGATAAAAGTCAACATGATAAACTGCTTAACGTTCTTTGAGCAAACGTCTACTTTAAATACCTAGTCACAAGGACTCCGTTTTCTTAGCATTCACATCTGCTGCCAGCCACTGAATAAGGATAATTACCTTTATTGGCCAAGTATGTTACACATAAGGAATTTGTTTCCGGTACAGAACCGAGGCAGCCATCTGCAGCGCCAACTCAACCGATGGCTCTAACCATCGCGGGCAACGGGGGGATTCAGTGTCCTGCCCAAGGGCACTTTGGCACGTGGACTGGAGGCACCGAGATTCAAACCTTCAACCTACTGATTGGGAGATGCCTGCTCTACCCACCGCACCACTGTCGCCTCCCAGAATGACTAATAACCAACAAGTTCATACAACTTATGAGCATGTACCAGTACGAAAACACAATCTAACAGGCACTTGATTGTTGCCCAAACCAAATATGCCAATGCTTCATTCTAATCTGACAACCATACAAGGCTCACACTGTGCACATTTTACACAGGACTTGAGTTAAATAATAAAATCATGGCAGGAACCCAAGAAGCTGATTAAGCAAGCATCTTTCTAAGGAAGATCCTCCAGCTTTTACTCACTGTCACTCCAAACTAAGTTTCTTTTGTTTAAGCTTTAACATGAACAGAATGGCTTACTTTAGTTTTCTGGTGCTGGCGCCCACAGGCCTGGCAAAATCGGCATCGTCGACAACACCAGTTCTCAAACTGTTCCTGGAGAGGGCGCTCTGACTCCCCCAGGCAAAAGAGATGGAACGGTTCACAGCATACCTGGCAGAAGACAAACTGTAGATAAAGAGAAAGAAGAGACAGAGAAAGGCTGAAACTGTTAGAATATAGGTTTAATTATTGCTCAGACAATAGGGAAATTAAAGGTTTTTCAGACTGTGACCATTTTTTTTTACCTCAACATTTCCACTACTAGCACATAAGAAGCAGAGAACCCGGGGTGTGACAGGCACAGAGGTGAGCAGGCTGAGGCCGCCAGCTTCCCACACCTTCTCCACATCATGGTCCCTCTTGAAATCCATTCTGATACGATGCACTCCGTCGCAGGGTGCCCTGGACTTCACCTGGCCCCTAGTCGAGGGAGTGCTCAGCCAGTTTAAAGTACTGCTGCTGGGGGGTTTAGTGGTCAGTGGCTTCTCGTGTTAATCACACAAGAGAAAGACAGAAGAAGGTGAGGATCAGAAATCTGTCTATACACCCAGCATCCGAAGTTTTGATGAGAATTAATGCTGAAAAAAACAAAAAAAACAACAACTACTTCTTACCTTGTCTTTGGGTCTCTGTTTAGGAGATGGAGGAACAATGCGAGAAGTTGGCTTCTTCAACGGTTTTGATTCAACTATGAAAAGCAGACAAAAATAAGAATACAACTGAGTATAGCCAATGTATTTATTATAACTTCAATATAAGACAGAAAAGTGCACCCAGTTTTTTTTTTTTTAACCTGTGTCTGAAATAGTTGTAGCAGCGTTCTGCTGCTGTGATGGCTGCTCCTGAGGCTTCTTCTTGGGCTCACTCAGAGAAATCCTGGATGAAGCATCTTTTTTTGAAGGTGCCTGACTAGTAAGAGGCCGCTGCTGCTGCTGTGACCCTTGGTGAGACTGTGCAGACTGGGAAGGGGAATTCTGGGCTGAAGATGAGGAGGAGGAAGATGATGAGGAGGAAGAAGACGATGAAGTGGAAGAGGAGGACGAGGAGGAGGGTGTCGGTACAGGCTGCTGTGGCTTCTGTCCCTTCTTCCCTGTGACAGGGCTCGTGACCGATAGCTGTTTGGGATCTGGTGTCTGGGCTGGACTCTGAGCCTGGGTTGTGACTGTGCTCAGAGCCTGAGGGGGTTCTTCTGGGGCAGGGGAAGATGCGAGGGCTGGAGATGATTGCTTTGATGGTGGCTGCGGTCTTGACTTTTCTTCTCCTAACTTCAGAGGAGTTTCACTCTTTTTGCGGGGAGGCTCCTCCTTTGGTGGTGCAGGAGATGGCTTGGGGCCAGATTCGGAGTTTGGTCCTTTTACCAGATTGAGACCCTCCTTCTTGTCAGAAACCTTGTTCTTTTTCTTATCCTTCTTTGCTTTACCTTGCTTCTGAAGAAACATTTTGGAGGGCATCCACTGCAAGTTCTGACACTTCCTCATCCTGTAGACAGTGGCACAAATTCAACATTGACTTTCTTTAATATTCCATTTAAAAGAATTTGTTAGGTAATGTTATGCTAGATTTTCCCAATGTTTACAATAACCAGTGGTAACAAATAGCTCATCAGCTGAGACTTACTTGCAGCATTGCTTTTTAATGTTCCGTCCTCCAAACTTAGGCTTGTCCAGACAGTTAGTGCAGACGCCACAATCCTCTGGAACCTGGCAGCCGGAGCACTGGCCACAGCGTCGAGATCGACGCCCTTTCTTGGGAGGAGCTTCTTGAACAACCTTTTGCCGTGTCTCCCGTGGCTTTATGGGAGGGGACTGAGGCTCTGCCTCCTCTGAGCCTGCTACTGATGACTTGTCTGTAGGAAGAGATGCACCATGATTGTCATCACACACTACTTAAGTAATTATTTAATTTTTAAGACACTGAATATCTTTTGGGCCTGGTCTGAAAATAGCACAACAAAAACATCCTTTGCATTGGGTTGCCAAACACACTTAACAATACAAAACATTACAAATATAGAAAAGATGAACAGGCTGAGCCAATTATTTAACAAATGTAAATCTTTGATTAAGGCTGTTTTTAAAAGAGCAACATATATGGCAGCTCTTCAGTGTCAATACAACATATTTTCATCCAAGGTATAATTTTTCTGTTGCACAATAAACAGCTCAGGCAAAACCTAATGAAGCTAGTCAAAATTTCACAGTTGTGTAGTAGTGCACAAGTAGTGTTTCAATGGAAAGAAACACATTAATTTCAAACTGATTTTAATATATCTCTTGTATCACACTTGCAATACTAGATGTAAGGGAGAATGACTTTAACTATAACTGAGATCATACTGCTAACTTGCACTAGTATGTCACTGACATCAGATTCTCTATTCCCACAAAAACTCACGTTGCACCATGACATTAAACCAGTCAAACTAACAGAAACATGAGCAGCCAAACTCATCTTGCTCCATCACCACTTCCCTATGTACTTGTGGTCTCACTGAAGACTGGATTTCTCTGCTCATGTGATTAGTTTGTCATCACCACATGCTGCTGAACATCTCCAAGACAGGTGTTTTGTGACAAATAAACACCCAACTCAAGACTGCTCTGTGAGCCCATCAGAGTGCTTTACAATTGAATCCGCAAACACGTCACACTACCGTAACATCTACAGTACCAGTCAAATGTTTGGACACACATGCTCACACTTCTGACTGGCACTGTGTGCCAAGAAGTGGTAACCAAGCCACCACTCAGAACAGGCAACTTCTGAAGTCTTTCGCAGAGTTTCCTGGTAATCCTAATCATGTGTAGTCAGTTTTTATATATACATGAATTTTTACAGATTCTTATTCAGTGTTACTTCCTGTGCTACTGCCATTAAATTGTTAGGCTAAAAGCTTAATTATAAGTGTCACCTACTTACCAGCTGAACTATAACTGACAGTTCTCTTAAATGTGTATTGTCATGCGCAAGCAGTGGTTTATTCATTATATAAACATCTCCAAGTCAATAAACTTTAACAGCCATGCCCAGAAATAGCAACCCACAAGCAAATCTCAAATGAGAGGTGAATTGACTCTGCCTTACCATCATTCCCCATGGAAGATAGAATCTTCTCTCTCTCCTCCCAGGGCAAGGCACTAAGTGTGGGCATGTCATCAGGGAACACTGCCCGATTACGGCCAAGAGCCACAGCTGCACGACGACATACGTGCTTGATGCGAGGTCCACGCACTGAGGCCTCGGACGAATCACTCTCCTGACCCTGCTCACAAGCACAAAATACAAAACGGATATGTCGCTTATGTCCCTAGGATATTACATTTGTTGTGAATGTTTTACTGAACAACAACTATAAACAAGCAGTATTGATGAAAATGATAATAATGTTGAGGTGGAGGAGGAGGAGGGTTTGGACAAGGCCATGATGAGTTCAGCTGGAAAATCTTCTCTTGAAAATATGCAATGACTGCCTATGACCATCTAATATTTACAATAAGAGTAGAAGAACAAAGGCATGTATTCTGTTTACAGGATGCTACTTTCACAAGCACAGTGCTGTTCTCTGAATAATGCATGAAGTGAACAGAAATCCCCTTAAAGTAACACTCTCTGCGGGACTTTCCTATTATCAAGTTTCACTTTGAGTACAAGCACAGATTTCCATTTACAGCAAATGTTCATAGTATAATGTCAAAGTCACTTGCTTGTGGCTACATGATGAGAAGGAGAGGTTTTTTGCTGTAGAGACACAATAACTACAAAGGCAAGACATGAAGAAGAGCACTAACCTGGACCTTGGTCTGGTCTGCAGGCTTCAGCTTACTCTTCTTGATCTCAAAGAGCTGGGCTTTGGCCTTCTTCAGTAGTCCAACTACCCGCTTGTCAGTCACAGGCTGTTTCTCTGCTTCTGCCAACATTGATCCAAGAGAGGAGACAGGGAGCTGTTGTCTGCCTGGTTGTCCTGGAAGGCTTGCTGTCTGCTGGCTAGAAGCACTTTGTTTCTCCTTCTCCTTTTCCCCATCCTCCATCTCCGCTCCTTTCTCAGAGGGTCGGCCTTTCTTAGGTATGCGTGCTTTAGCAATGGACAAGGGGACAGTTGAATGGAGCCCATGTGCCTCTGAGGAAGCACTGTCAGTAACCATATCAACTGATGCTGATTTTTTTCTCCCTGGAGTCTTTTTTGGAGCAAGAGGTAAAAGAGCATCTTCTGAGTCCCTCCCATCCACTGTAAACAGGCTGGAAGGTGCATTCGGGGAGCCATCTGGTGTGGAAACCTTACTTCTTTTCTCCATATCCTTCCTCCCTTCCCTCTTATTCTCCTTCTCTTTCTCTCGGTTTTTCTCGGAATCCCTTTCTTTTTCCTTTGGAGCAGGTTCCTGGGGAACTGATAAGCTTTTATCTTTACCTCCTTTCCCACATCCTCGCCCTGTGTCTTGGGCACCCGAAGGAAAAAGAGGGAAAAGTGGGGAAGAAGCAGATGATGTAGTTGACAAAGGAGCTTGGTTTCCAGCAGCCCCTCTCCTGATATCAGGAGTTCTTTGCGAGGCCAGACCCAGGGATACTGAGGAGAAGGTGCTGAAAGGAGGAGTTAAGGCACTAGTGGCTAGTGGACTTGCAGAGACCACTGGCAAAGAGCTGGGATTACTACTGGAGACAGTGCCAGTCAGCACAGACTTCTCAGTAGAGCCTTTCCCCACAGACGTTGGAACTCCAACTTGGCTGCTACGTCTGGTCATTGAGTGGGAAGGAGATCGCAGGTGGTCACGTAGCGTTCCCAAGGGCAGTCGTTTCCTGCGTCGCGAGAGTCTGCTAGAGGTGGAAGGTGTCTGGTGTGGGGACAGAGAGCCCGGGCTGCTCCCAGAGGATGACTGATGCAGTGTAACAGACTCAAATATCCGAGAGTGGGCCTCACTGGGTGTAAAGCGTGGAGCACGAAGCAATGGGCTGCGCTTCTGGAGTGGTGCATCAAAGCGGGATGAAGGGGGATGTTGGTGGTGGGTGTGGGGATGAAGAGGGGCAAACAAACGAGTCCCTGTTCCTGCTCCACTGCCTGGTGCAGGGAACGCAACTGTGGCAGCCCCACCAGCTCCGCTAACACTTTGGGGCAACAGCCCCACATCTTCAGCTGTGAGAGGGGGAGGACGGAAGTTGTCAAATATGGGCTTACGAATGAGGCCCTCCTTGGCATATTTAGCAGAGGAAAAGTACTGGTGTTCAGGGTGGGACAGGGACGTCCAGCGGAAGGTGGGCTCTCTAAGAATTGAGCGGCTTCGTTTGTCTTGCAAGCTGGACAGCACTGATGGTCCAGACAGAAATGGAGGAATGGGGTGAGAGATCCAAGGTGACTGCGGGTGGTGTTCACTGATAACTGTGTTGGTGGAAGCTGACTGGGGCGGCTGTGGAGGTGTGAGGAGAGGGGGCGGTGGAGGTGAAGAAGGAGAAGAAGCTGTGGATGAAGCTTGCTGGGAATTTACAAGTGTAGGGGATGACATGAGCACTCCCGTTGGAGGGCTGATGATAGGCTTTTTACCCCCAGTGGAGAGAGTCTCCCTCACCTTCTGATTTTGACTTCCCCGGGCGACCCCCTGTCCTCTCCGGCCTCGTCGACTCCTCTCTGCCAACACGCGCTCTGGCTCTGGCTCAGGCTCAGGCTCAGATGGGGGAGAGGGAGGCCGTGAGCTGTGTAACAGGCTGGCCTCCCTCTCTCCCTGTGAGGACGGAGAGTGATCCTCTGCCTCTGACAAAACCTGTGTGGCCTCAGAAGCCTGGGAGTCGCATGATGAGTCATCCAAGCTTGGGCTGCTGGACCTGGATGATTCTGCAGAGGAGAGCTGAGAGGAATGCTGCGACACAGCACTTGAGCCACAAGATGCCACACTACTGCTAAACCGCCCGTTAGCAGCGTTGTTGGTGTTGTTGCTGTTGAGCAGACTGGCAGCTGTGGGTGGAACAGTGGGGACGGGGGCAGGCGGTGGAGGAGGAGGGAGGGAGTCGACCAGAGAGGTGGTACCAATACTAGTAACAGCAGATGCAGGGGAAACCAGCACAGGAGAGGGTGAAGAGGATGTGGTGGAGGTGGGTTGGACAGATGTAGACACAGATGAGGGGGTTGCTTCTAACCGTGGTATCTTCATATGGGGAGGTGGGGTTCCAAAGCTGCCCTCATCTTCAATGAAGCGCTTGGGGGTTTTAATGATGCGAAGGGAGACTGTGCTGACCACAGGCATGATGAACTGCCTGATATTCTTCAGCTGGGTCTTCCTGATGCCAGCTTCAATGGCTCCCGCTCCACTACCCCCAATGGCCACAGCTTCTTTCTCCAGCCGTTTCTGCGCCCCTTTTTTAGCTCGCTGCAGCAGCTGTTTAGCAATGGTTGCATCAGTGCGTTTAGAGGGTGGGACAATTCTGACAGGTTTTCTATGGCGAGGGCTTTTTCTGAGGCCTACTGTCCTGCCTGGCTTGGAGGGAGATGGGGAGGCAGGTGAATTGGAAGAATCCTGGTCCTCAGGTCCATCCACATTCCTCACTATGGTCTGTTGGGGAGTGTGTGGTTCTGTGCCTCTGTCACCACCTCTGACCCTAAAGGCCTTGTGTTTCCCTTCACCACAGTCAACCGAGGTAGACAGCTGAGCAGCAGCAGTAGCAGCTGCAGCCTCGGCTTTGAGCCGCTCAGCCGAGGGTGGTCGCCCACGTCTGCGTCGGGGTGCACCAGGCAAAGTCTTGAGACGTGACTTGAGAGGGGCAAGTTTAGTCCCTTTCAGCCTCTTCAGGTTGCCAACTTTGGATTCACTACACCCACCTTTGGAAAGCTTTGCCTCAGTGTCATGTGGCTGAGCAGAGCCGAGGGGCATCCTCCTGGCACCCTTTTTGTCTTTATCCTCCTCTGTGTCCACACCCAACTCAGACCCAGCCTGCCTACTATCCTCTCCTGCTGCATGGCTGCCTGTACTCCAAGCTTTCTTGCTACTTGAAGATGGGGGTCTACCTCTTCTCTTTTCCCCAGTGCCAGGTGGCCTCCCAGGCAGCCTTTTTACCTTCTCAGCTGTCCTTTCATTGTCCTCAGGTTTCACCTGTGTAGGGGAGGAAAGGGAGGAGGGAGTATGTAGACTTGTAGCAGCTTTCTGGATAGTCAGGGACCGTGGAGGTCGACCTCTGGGCTTCTTCTCCTGTATGACTGGGCCCGCTGATAAAACCACAGAACAAAATAGAGAATGTTTAGTTAGCATGGAAGCATCTGATATAGTTAGCATGGAAGCATCTGATACAAACAGCCTGTATAAGTAACTGAAGGCAATAGTAAAGTCTCTCATAGGCTAACACTTTTAAGGAACTTTACCCAATGAGGTTGTTGAAGGGCTCTGTACTCCTTTCTGCTCAGCAACTGTTCCAAACCCTCCAAATGCTTCTTCCTACAAAATAAAGAAAAATAAAACGAATCAGTAATGATTCAATGTTTGTAATGCCAACATACAGGGAAGAAGAATGGCAGGTTAACAGGACAAATTTACAGCACTTTTCATGGTACACAATTGTCAACTGGCCATTCTTGAAATGATACAGATGAAGACCAAAATTTTAGGAAAATAATGGTGTGTTCATTTTCTTGTCCGTCTGCTGCCTTACTTTGCTGCTCTCATGTTTCCCTGGCTTTTGGGATGTCATGCCTACAGCTGGAGAAGGCTTAAACCACAACAGTTTGAAATGCAACCATCCAAATCCTACTGGGTGACTGACCCATTGCACTGCATTCCT